ACAGACAGATCTCCAAATGCATGCGGTGGGACTTACGCAACTTCAATACAGCTTGTATTGAAGAAGCGATCGAGCGGAACCAAGGCTCCAAAGTCTTTGCCAGAGATCTGTCTGCCAGAAAGAGCCAACTCTCAAAGCTGAAGACCAAGTGTGGCAGCATCGTTTCCGGGGCACCTGAGATTTTGAGTGAGATTGAGAGGTTCTATGGGCAGCTGTACACGTCATCGTTGGAGCCACACGCAAGTGTGAGTAAAGATCCAAGAGCGAGTCATATCCGACACTATTCCGAAGATATCCCGGACGTCAGTCTGAGCGAGATTAGAATGGCTCTCCAGCATCTTCAAAATGGCAAGGCCCCAGGCGAGGATGGAATTACAGCGGAGCTTCTAAAAGCGGGTGGAAGACCGGTACTTGAAGTCCTTCAGAAGCTCCTTAATTCCGTCTTCCATGGTGGTATTACACCGGAGGCGTGGCTTCTGAGCCGCGTCTACGTGCTGTTTTCGAGAGTCATTACGAATCGTCTCGCGCGCAGACTTGACGACTTCCAGCCTCCCGAACAAGCCGGTTTCCGAAAGGGCTTTAGTACCATAAACCACATACATACCCTTTGCAAATTGTACAGAAGTCCAAAGAGTACAATTTGCCACTATGTCTGGCGTATGTGGACTATGAGAAAGCCTTTGATTCCGTCGAAATTTGGGCGGTGCTGCAGTCCCTTCAACGGTGCCAAGTTGACTGTCGGTATATCGAAGTGTTGAAGTGTTTGTACAGTAGAGCTACTATGACTATCCGAGTAACAGAACCAGAGTACGAAACCTATCCAATTGCAGAGAGGTGTAAGATAGGGTGCTGTTATATCCCCGAAACTCTTCAGCGCTGCATTGGAAGACGTTTTCAAGCTTCTGGACTGGAAAGGATACGGTATTAACGTCAATGGCGAGTACATCACTCAACTTCTATTTGCCGACGATATAGTCCTTATGGCAGAATCGCTGGAGGGCCTAAGCTCCATGCTCAATGACCTCAATAGTGTCTCCCAACGAATAGGTCTTAGGATGAACATGGACAAAACAGAGATCATGTTTAATGTCCATGTCACACCTATGCCGGTAGTTCTTGGGAACACTAAGCTCGAAGTTGTTGACGAGTATGTTTACACTTTCCTAGTCGGACAAATAGTCCGACTAGGAAAGTCCAACTTCGACCGAGAGGTCAATCGACGAATTCAACTGGGCTGGGCAGCGTTCCGGAAACTACGACACATCTTCTCGTCAGATATACCTCAAAACCTTAAAACGAAATTGTCCAACCAGTGCGTGTTGCCAGTGATGACTTACGGATCTGAGACGTGGTCCTTCACTGCTGGCCGTATGAGGAAGCTCAAGGTCGCTCAGCGAGCTATGGAGAGGGCTATGCTCGGGGTTTCCCTGCGTGATAAACTTAGAAATGAGTATATCCACAGTAGAACCAGAGTAACCGATATAGTCCAACGGATTAATAAGCTGAAGTAGCAGTGGGCCGGCCATATAGCTCGAAGAACCGACAACCGATGGAGAAAAAGGTTCTTGAGTGGCAGCCTCGTACCGGTCGGCGAATTGTAGGGTGACCCCCCACGAGATGGAGTGTCGACCTGGTAAGACATGCAGGAAGTCGATGGATGCAGGTGGTTCAGGACCGTGCTTTGTGGCATTCCTTGGGGGAGGCCTATGTTCAGCAGTGGACTTATGAAAGGCTGTAATGATGAATGATGATGATGACATGCCCACAAGTCAAGCTAATAAATATTTGTTGAAAAGGATTGGATAATATTAAAAAAAAAAAACAATTACAAAACCTTTGCTGTGTTAATTCAATAAAGTTTTTAAATAGATAAACTTCTTTATATAGCTTAAGTTGAAGGCGTAAGTATTCTTTTTAAGAATTTAATCCACCATTATTACAACCCATTACAAGTCCACTACTGAACATAGGCCTTCCTTATAGATATACGTGGTATATATTTACCACGTATATATTTTATACGTGGTAGAGCCATGCTGCAGTTATATTAATAGTATAGTTGTAGAACGAAAGGGTCGGCTCGACGGGGGAAGGACCACGCTCTCGCAGAATACCGGCGTAAAATAGTAGCTTAATGGATGATTCATGCTACAACGTGGCGCGGCCGGGCCGTGCCCCGGCCGGGGCACGGCCAAACATTATGGTGTACTTTTTGTACGATTCATGCCTGACCGTGGCCCGGCCGTGCCCCGGCCGTACGCCGCCGGGACTCGGCCGGGGCACGGCGTTGAAATGTCGGTGGGTATTGTTTCCCGGCTCCGGCACGGTCCGGCCCCGACACGTTGTAACATGAACATATGCGCCCGGGCGCCCGGAGAGCAGTCAACGTCAAATCTTAGTGAAGTGAGTAGCTCAACAGCAAAATGGACGATGAAAAATTATTAGAATGTGTGCGCAAGTACCCTGTGATTTACGATATGAGCCATCCTAAGTATTTAGATAACAAATACAAAAATATTATTTGGAAAACCATTTCGGACGAAATAAAACAATGTGGTAAGTTGTAACTTTTATTTCAATTTACATTTATAATACTTATTCAAGTGTCACTAATTACTTTACGATAACATGTAAGTACATGTGAGTGGGATTATCGGTTTTTAGTAGGTATTTTAGAATATGTTAGGTAAATTATAAGAAGTATATTATAGTGTAAGTATGTATTTATTCTTGATACTGTTGTCCTATAAAATTACGTCCCGCTGTTGACGCTAAATATTCTTTAAACGTTTCTCTTACCGCAAATGCATCATTAGCCGGTCTTCCTGGTTGAACGCTCAATGGATTTAATAAATGTGGTTGCGCATTTTGTGCACTATGATTGATAAGCCCTGTGTAATCTTTTTGTTCGCATAAAAAATTATGCAGTACGCATGTAGATAGAATAATGTAATTAACATTTTCTGGAGCAAGTTTCATTCTTCTTTGAAATATTCTAAATCTTTGTGTCAAAATACCAAAGGCATTTTCGACTAGTCGCCGGGCCAAAGACAGTCTATGATTGAAATTCGTTTTATTAGCGTCACCAGTTGCTTGGTGTCCTGGATACGGTCGCATTAGGTATGTTTTCAAAGGAAACGCTTCATCACCAACTATTACATATGGTGCAAACGTAGAGTAACCGGGTAAATTTTTACCAATAGGTACATGAAGCGTCCCATTTTCTAAACGTTTTCCAAGATTACATTGTGCAAAAATGCCACCATCACTGTTTCGTGCGTAAGCGCCAACATCAACTGCAATAAATTTGTAGCATGCGTCCACTAACGCCAATAAAACAATAGAGAATGTGTGTTTATAATTAAAATATATAGAACCACTATTGATGCTTTCTTCAACGGTTTGGCAGCCACCATAAAATCTTTTTCCCCTTACTATCAGCATCTTGCAAAAGGAAGAATATTTGCAGTAGTACAAGATTTGGAGTGGGAGCAATTGTCATCAGAGCCTTCTTCTTACACATCTCCAATGAGTGGAACAACGTCAGCGTCGTCTACTAATTCAAGGTCGGTGTATGCACCGGTTCCGATGACTACACCAACGCCAACACCGGAATCAACGCCTACGGAACCTACACCTTCGGAACCTTCGCCTTCGGAACTTACGCCTTTGAAATCTAATAATTTGTCTACTTTATTTTCAGAGTTCACGGCAGACTAATGAAATGAATAAATACTATGCGAATTATTTAAATTTTTACTTTTTTTCATTCACAATGCAATTTTGAGTATTGAAAAATTGAAAATGAAGTATTTAGAAAAAATCGACCCATCTTACAACCAGCTCTGATAGATGGTTGTGAGACGGGTCAATTTGTAATACTACATTTTTAAATACTATGTGATTTAGTGCATATCAATTTATTATTTACCTGATGCAGGCTGCTAATCGTTCGATGAGAGATACAGGCTTTTGAAATCTTGTAATTTTTTTGGTTAGGTCTGGTTTTACTTTTTCAAGTAAAAAAGTAAAGCATTCTTTAGACATTCTAAAATAACCATAAAACTTGCTCTCATCATCTATTAATTCTTTGTAAAGTAAAGCAAATTCTCCTTCTGCTTCTCGCTTTCTCCAGGTTGGATGTACACCCCATCTTCTTTTAGTAGTTTCGCTTCGTTTTTCCAATACTTCATCATCGATGGCAATTGCAATAGCTGCCAATTCAAATTGTGAAAATTGCATATTTATGTAAGCGTGAAGTCTATCGACAGATGAAATCACTAGCTGACAAAATCCACATAACACAGAGTCGTGCATAAGCCACGGTCGTGCAAACAGCCCGGTGTAACATGAATGACTGGCCCGGCCAGCGCACGGTGGACGTGTCCCGGCCGGGCACGGCCCGGTGGCGACACGTTGTAGCGTGAATCATCCTTAACACTGCTGTGTTTCGTATGGTGAGTGTAGAGAACCAGCGACTTTTTTTACTGGAAAAGAGGTATTCCATCTTAGTCCTCACAAAGGACCACGCTCTCGCAGAATACCGGCGTAAAATAGCAACTTAACACTGCTGTGTTTCGTATGGTGAGTGTAGAGAACCAGCGACTCTTTTTACTGGAAAAGAGGCATTCCATCTTAGTTCTCACGGGCGACAGCGCATCTGCATTTTGATTCTTTATTGAGGATAGATGTGGATGTCTATGGGTCACAGCAACCACTTACCAATGGTGGGCTGTGTGCTCGTTTGTCACCCTATCCTATAAAAAAAATAGATTGCTACAAAGGATGTTACTGAGCTATAAGCATCCATCAGCTGCAACAACCTGCATGTTTCAACAGGTCATTCACTCCATCTAGTGGGGGGTCGTCAAACGCTATGCTTGTCAGTATGAGACATAGTGTTCCTAACAACTACAAGTATAGGCTTAACTAGGCCGGTGGACATTAGGCATGAGAGTTTTGTCAGTTGGTGTGCAAGGGTACTATTATATGTGTGGCAGGTCGGACGGCAGCCGGGAGCGGCTGAGCGCGCGCTGCGAGGGCGCGGCGCTGGTGCTGGCGCGCGCGGACTCCGAGCTGCGGGCGCGCCTGCTCTCGCCCGACGCTACCAACTTGCCGCACAACGAAGCTAACCGGGCTTTTATGGTATACTTTTGTTTTTATGAACTTAAATTTTAGCCATGTGTGAATTCATCACACCATTTCTTTTCCCGGGGTCTCTTCAAAGGTGACTATAGGAATTATTGGAAAATTAATAATCTCCGATAGATGGCGGTATAATCATCTCGTTTACGTCAGGCCTGAAATATTCAGGTCAAAAGTGCCACTTGCCAAGCGTGACGATTAAGGTATAAATCCTCCTTGTACGTATCTCTAAACTCAAGTGAACAATGAGAATTTATTGTTATGCAGCATTCTTTGCCAGTTATTCTCAACAAGTGAAAAGAAACATTCTATTCATTGTAACCTAAAATATATTAAGTAAATTATTGTAACGGCGTAATTTACTTTTCAAATGAAATAAACAACTTTTGACTTTCTATAATTAAATCTTTGTAAAAATATCCAACGTCCATGAAACACAAATTTTACAACCCAACAAAAATAACCGTCACATTTTATCTCTCCTCTCCGCTCCACCAATCACAAATCAACACCTGTCCAAGTCACCTAAGACGGCACACCGCACCACGTGACACCTTTCCAATACAACCTCTTATCTTTATTACATTATATTAAAAAATGAGCAATGGAAAATATTTCTCATGAACCTGTATCTGTGTTTCTAATAGTAAATTAATTATGCTAAATATTCTTACCCGCCAAGAATACCCACCACCCCCGTATCTTCATCTGGATGACGTAAGAGACAACAGAGGAAAATTGAGGCAGAAAATGGGCAGCAGTATCTTTCTAATAACAAATATCAGCAAAAAACAATAAAAACCTCGGTTGTCAATCCGCTCACTAAGCGTGTCAACTACGGCAATATGATGGGAGTTACAAAAGAGCGGTCCCCAGTCCCCGGTGATCCCTCTATTCCTGGCTACGATGGCGACCATGAGTAATCCCCGAATCCGGCAACTTGTTCTATCACCGTGAGAACGATCATCTGTCCCAAGGAGGTGTCGGATTTATCGTCCACAAGTTTCTCATTAACAATGTTGTAAAGATTGGAAGTGTGCCAAGAAGGGTTGCATAACTATATACTCAAAATCACCAAACGGTATTCGCTGAAGGTCATACAAGTTTACGTACCAACCTCTACACATCCCTGGAGAACTGATACGGTGTCTTTGGGAGATTTAAACGCAAAACTAGGCACAAGAGAGAACAGTGAGCTGTAAGTAGGTAAATTCGGGATTGGGTAACGGAACTCAAGTAGCCATTAGCCGGTCGACTTTATGGAGAACGAGGGACTCTTTATTATGAACTCTTTCTTCCAGAAGCGGCCCCACATAAAGTGGACTTGGTCGAGCACCGACGGTTCGGCAATAAATGAGATTGATTTCATTATGACGACCAGACCGCAACTGTTCAGTAATATCTTAGTGATCGCAAGGGTGAATATACAAAATAAAAAAATAAAACTGAACCTAAAAGTTAAGTTGGAGAGGTAACGTCTAATGAAGCCAACTTTCCGTCCCCGCTCGTGCTCTAATCAGTCCCGAAATATTCAGCTCGAGTTACATAATCGTCTTTAGTTCCTAGAAGATTGCAATGAAGTGGACGATATGAATGATAAGCTTGAGGAAACTGTCTATGCGGTCGGAGCAAAGTTCTGCAAGACCCGTCGCAGGAGAACACAAAAACTCCGATCGAACTCTTAATCTCATTCCTGTTAGACGGGAAATGAAACTGCATTCTTCAGCAGATTTGACAGCATACAGGCAACTGAACAGACATCTCCAAATGCATGCGGCGGGACTTACGCAATTTTAATACAGTTCGTATTGAGGAAGCGATCGAGCGGAACCAAGGCTCCAAAGTCTTTGCCAGAGATCTATCTGCCAGAAAGAGCCAACTGTCGAAGCTGAAGACCGAATGTGGCAGCATCGATTCCGGGACACCAGAGATTTTGAGTGAGATTGAGAGGTTCTATAAGCAGCTGTACACGTCATCGTTGAAGCCATACGCAAGTGTAAATAACGATCCAAGAACCAGTCTTAACCGACACTATGCCGATGATAACGCGGACAACAGTCTGAGCGAGATTAGAATGGCTCTCCAGCATCTTAAAAACGGCAAGTCCCCGGGCGAGGATGGAATTACAGCGGAGCTTCTGAAAGCGGGTGTAAAAGCGATACTTGAAGTCCTTCAGAAGCTCTTTAATTCCGTCCTCCATGGGGACACTACTCCGGAGGCGTGAAGCAGAAGTGCGGTGGTCTTATTCTTCAAGAAAGGCGACAATGTTCTCTTGAAGAACTACAGGTCGATTTCCCGTCTGAGGCGCGTCTACGTGCTGTTTTACGCATACGAATCGTCTCGCACTTAGACTCGACTACTTCCAGCCTTCCGAACAAGCCATTTTCCGAAAAAGCTTTAGTACCATAGACCATATACCCTTCGGCAAATTGTACAAAAGACCGAAGAGTAAAATGTATAATAATGTATCTTGCGTATGTGGACTATGAGAAAGCCGTTGATTCCGTTGAAATTTGGGTGGTGCTGCATTCAGCGGTGCCAAGTTGGTTGTATATCGAAGTATTGAAGTGTTTGTACAGTAGGGCTATTCGAGTACAGATCCAGAGTACGAAACATATCCAACTGCAAAGAGGTGTAACACACGGTGACGTTATATCCCCGAAACTCTTCACCGCTGCATTAGTAGATGTTTTCAAACTACTGGACTGGACTGGGAAGGATACGTATGGTATTAACGTGAATGGCGAGTACATCCTTCACCTTCGATTTCCTGACGATATAGTCCTTGTGGCAGAATCACTGGAGGATCTAAGCACTATTCTCAATGACCTCAATAGTATCTACAGACGGATAGCTCTTAAGATAAACATCGACAAAACGAAAGCCGTGTGTAACGTACATGTCACAACTATGTCGCTAGTTGTTGGGAGCCCTAAGCTCGAAGTTGTTGACGAGTATGTTTACCTGGAACAAATAGTTCGACTAGGTAAGTCCAACTTCGACCGAGAGGTCAATCGACGGATGCAATTCGGCTGGTTATCGTTCGGGAGACTACGATACATCTTCTCGTCAGGTATACCTAAAAACCTCAAAACAAGATTGTACAACCAGTGCGTGTTGCCACTTGCCAGTAATGACCTTTGGATTTGAGGCGCTGTCCTTCACTGCTGGCCGTAAGAGGAAGCTTAAAGTTGCTCAGCGAGCTATGGAAAGAGTTAGGTTGAGGTTTTTCTGGATGATAGACTTAAAAACGGGAATATCTGCAGTAGAACCAAAGTTATCGACATATAGTTCAACGGATTAGCAATTTGAAGTGGGAATTTTCCGGCCATATAGGTCGAAGAACCGACAACCGATGGAGAAGAAAGTTCTCGAGTGGCTGCCTCATATCGGCGGGAGAAGTTAGGCTTGTGAAGGGCTGTAATGATAATGAATGATGAAATATTCATATTATGATAGAGATGAATTGTCTGAATTGTCTCCTGGCTTTCGGAAGATATAAACGTCTTGTATATTACTGTGCTTTTATAAGAAAATAATCATTAGAGACTGTTTACAATGGGGGTAAAATAATCTTCTGTTCATCAGATGTCGCTAGTTAGGACTGAGATGAAGTTTTTGTTACACAATATCATTTAACAAGTTGCAATTTGGTAAATATTTCACCTTGTTTCTAAAAGTGGCACCGCCCTGGTGGCAAAAAAGCCTTGAAAGAAGGAAGCCATCGAAGAAGATATCGCGTCTTTTACAAACAAAGAAGAAAAACATCAAACGAATTGTTAACCTTTTTCTTTCTTGAAGTTTGCTTAAAGAGTATTTGATGCAGATAAAAGTGGAGGGGTGCAGCGAGCCGCGCGCGGAGGCGACGGTGGTGTGCGCGGGCATAGCGGAACGCAGCGCCTGGCTGCGGCGCCTGCGCGACGGAGCCTCCCCGGCCGGCGCCCTCGCCGCGCGCGCCCGCCAGCCGCCGCCGCTGTGCGCCACGCGCGCGCCGCTCCTCGCCGCGCTGCACGTGGCGCCGCACGTGCTCGCGCTAGGTACGTACAGTGTACACGCCGCGCCGCGCTACTGCACGCGCACTGCACGCTCACCAGCTTCACCACATGTGAAGCACCAGCTTTCAAATAAAGAAAGAATCATCGAAATCGGTTCACCCAGTATAAAGTTATGAGGTAACACACATAAAAAAAACATATAGTCGAATTGAGTACAGAAAAAATGTTGTATGATCACGGACATTCAAATGACATTGATTTCAAATGACATTCAGACAAGAAATTAAACGAAGACAGACGATAGTACTAACGATACCTTTGTCATTTAATGGGTCAGATAGAAAATCGATCCTGAGGGAAAAATCATCTCTTCACGTTTTATTAGATTTATTCACGCTCCATCATATTAATACATCTAAATGAAACGATAATTTCATTTAAAAAAATCATGAAAATACGAGGGTGGATTGAAAAGTACTCGGCCTAACCAAGAAAATAAACAAATACTAAATCAGTTATATTTTTCTTTTTCTACATAATCACCATCAAGTTCAATACACTTTTGCCACCTCCCCTTCCAAGCATTTAGACCGCTGAAAAAAAATGATTCTTCCTTAGAGTCAAAATATGCGTCTACAGCTGCTTTGACCTCGTCGTTTGTCGAAAATCTTTGACCTCCCAAGTGCTTTTTTAGGTTAGGGAACAGAAAGAAGTCTGATGGTGCCAGATCAGGTGAATACGGCGGATGCGGTAACAGTTCAAAGCCACAGTTGTGAATTTCAGCCATTGACTGTACTGACGTGTGAACACGGGCGTTATCTTGATGAAACAGGACTTTTCTTCTGAGCATTCCTCGACGTTTTTCTTTTATTTCCTCTCGTAAACGACGTAGTAAGAGGCAGTAGTAATCAGAGTTTATATTCTGACCCCTTTCAAGATAATCAATCATAATCACACCTTTCGAGTCCCAGAATACTGAAGCCATCACCTTATTTGCCGACAAAATCGACTTAGCCTTTTTAGGGGGTGGTGAACCAGGTCTTCTCCACTGTTTTGATTGTTGTTTTGTTTCCGGTGTACAGTAATGAACCCATGTTTCGTCCATAGTAACAAAACGATTCAAAAAATCATCTGCATCGGCTTCAAATAACTCCAAACAGTCGCGTGAAATAGTCAATCGCGTCCTTTTTTGTTCAACTGAAAGCAGTCGCGGAACCCACCTCGCAGACACCTTGTCAAATTCCCCGAATTGCGGGAAATTTAAAGTTGATTGGGGATTGGTATTATGCGTGGTCTGTACTTAGACAAGGAGGCGAGGGCTAGTTTGTATAGGATTAACGCTAAGGGCGGTTTGAGCTTGCTTTCCTATAATTGAGACCCATGCTCGACTCAATTAAGGAATCACCGGTCTTATGCATGATCTCAGATATCATACGTCCACTATATACTTTCAACAAAAAGTATACAGTGGAATTCCAGAGAAGACTGGCTGAATGGACAGGTCATCTGTGAGGTCGGTAGCCTTATATGGTGTATCGATGGGTCAAAAATGGGCCACTTAATATGAATTTGGGTAGATTCACCTCTATCTTCCAGGCAGAAATTTTCGCCATACTTTAGTGTGCAGAAATCAATCTGCAAAAACACTACGTTAACCATATAATCTATATTAACTTTGATAGTCAAGCAGCACTGCTAGCGCTGAGATCAAACTTTGTGAACTCGAAGCTGCAGACTGCGTGAACCGTCTAAACGCCCTGGGAGGTAACAACAGGCTCGTTATAAGATGGGTTTCGGGTCGCGCGGGTATTGTAGGCAATGAAACTGTCGATAAGCACGCACGGGAGGGCTCAAAGAGTATACAATTTGGACCTGAGCCATTTTGTCGTATCTCAAAAAGCCTCGTCCGATTGACCCTAGAAACTCTTTACCACAATAAATCACTTAAGATGTGGTCTGATACACCAGGCTTAAAACATTCTAAAACCTTAATCCGGGCTTCCGATCGTAAATTCGCTTTGGAAGCCCTGGGATCAGGTAAAAATTAATTGCGCATTCTGGTCAGAGCCCTGACTGGACACTGTTGTCTTAAAAACACATGTCCTTCCTGGGACTAAGCAACTTAAGTATGTGCCGGTTTTGCTCCCTAGAAGAGGAAACGTCTTTACACATCCTGATGAATTGCGGACTCTTAAGGCACAAACGTAGGACGCATCTGGGAAAATATGTATTTCGCCCAGAAGAAGTGAAATTTCTCACAGCTAAGCAACTCCTTCTATTCATTGAAGACGTAGGCCTTAGCAGTGAACTATAGACATAGCAGCGATCACAATAGATCTTTTAGGTCGCAGTGATACAGGTGCAGCGCAGCTGCTCGTACATAATAAAAAAAGGTTTAATGATCTGTGGAAATGATCAAAGTGCTTGCCACAAGGACATTAGAACGCACGCACTTATCGGTAGGCATTTGTTTTGGCGGGATTGGTTATTAATTTTAGTTTTTGAGACAGTTCCGTGTTGACAATCACGTGCACGTGAGCAACAGTTCATTCGTTTTGTTTATTAAATTTTTGTTGTTACGTTTTGTGTATCTTGTTTTGTTTTAATAATGACTAACACGTACGTTTATAGTGCTCGTGAATACGGCAACATGTTAATGTACCTTGGAGAATATCATAAGGCCACGGAGTATTTAGATGAGTAATCTGTTTCATACCTAATTTTTTTTAAATAACAGTACTGAACTGATCCGAATAGGTACATAACTGAATACATCAGAATAATAAACATACCTACACAATGGATAAAAAAGCATGACTCTATCCTTGTTAACATCTCATTTAAATAAAATTTTCATTAGCGGGAAATCGAACTGGTTTAGGGAACCTGTGAATTCGAATTAAAGTGGCTAGGTGGAGACTAGCACTTCACTTCAATACACTTTTGCCACCTCCCCTTCCAAGCATTTAGACCGCTGAAAAAAAATGATTCTTCCTTAGAGTCAAAATATGCGTCTACAGCTGCTTTGACCTCGTCGTTTGTCGAAAATCTTTGACCTCCCAAGTGCTTTTTTAGGTTAGGGAACAGAAAGAAGTCTGATGGTGCCAGATCAGGTGAATACGGCGGATGCGGTAACAGTTCAAAGCCACAGTTGTGAATTTCAGCCATTGACTGTACTGACGTGTGAACACGGGCGTTATCTTGATGAAACAGGACTTTTCTTCTGAGCATTCCTCGACGTTTTTCTTTTATTTCCTCTCGTAAACGACGTAGTAAGAGGCAGTAGTAATCAGAGTTTATATTCTGACCCCTTTCAAGATAATCAATCATAATCACACCTTTCGAGTCCCAGAATACTGAAGCCATCACCTTATTTGCCGACAAAATCGACTTAGCCTTTTTAGGGGGTGGTGAACCAGGTCTTCTCCACTGTTTTGATTGTTGTTTTGTTTCCGGTGTACAGTAATGAACCCATGTTTCGTCCATAGTAACAAAACGATTCAAAAAATCATCTGCATCGGCTTCAAATAACTCCAAACAGTCGCGTGAAATAGTCAATCGCGTCCTTTTTTGTTCAACTGAAAGCAGTCGCGGAACCCACCTCGCAGACACCTTGTGGAAACCCAACTCGTTGACAATTGACAATGATGTTTTGAGTTCGTTCATAAGAGATGCCTATAATCTCGGCTATCTCTCTAATTTTTAATCTGCGGTCTCCCATTATTAAATCAAGTACTTTTTTAATATTTTCGTCAGTAGTTGACGTCAAAGGCCTTCCAGAGCGGGGTTCATCTTTCACACTCTCTCTACCACGCTTAAATTCTGCTATCCATTTTTTGACGGATGAATATGACAGAGCACAATCGCCTAATGTACTGACCATGTCATCATGGATGGCTTTTGATGATAGCCCCTTCTTATGGAGGTACTTAATGACGGCACGCTGCTCGATTTGCTCCATTCGCGGAAATTATGTCCGATTACTTTGTTAATAAATTTATAAAATCACAACTAATTATCGCACACGTTTCGAACTTCACACAATGAACTAGTCTGAACTGAACTAAATAATGTGGGTAGATTTGATTTTTAGAATTGAATGGATCTGTGTTAGGCCGAGTACTTTTCAATCCACCCTCGTACTTAAAAAACATAAAACCAGCAGTGTAATTTAAAATCAGCTGACTAGGGTCAATATTCGCGCGGACGCCGAACTCTTTTATCTAGTTCCGTATGAAACAATTCCCGAATTGCGGGAAATTTAAAGTTGATTGGGGATTGGTATTATGCGTGGTCTGTACTTAGACAAGGAGGCGAGGGCTAGTTTGTATAGGATTAACGCTAAGGGCGGTTTGAGCTTGCTTTCCTATAATTGAGACCCATGCTCGACTCAATTAAGGAATCACCGGTCTTATGCATGATCTCAGATATCATACGTCCACTATATACTTTCAACAAAAAGTATACAGTGGAATTCCAGAGAAGACTGGCTGAATGGACAGGTCATCTGTGAGGTCGGTAGCCTTATATGGTGTATCGATGGGTCAAAAATGGGCCACTTAATATGAATTTGGGTAGATTCACCTCTATCTTCCAGGCAGAAATTTTCGCCATACTTTAGTGTGCAGAAATCAATCTGCAAAAACACTACGTTAACCATATAATCTATATTAACTTTGATAGTCAAGCAGCACTGCTAGCGCTGAGATCAAACTTTGTGAACTCGAAGCTGCAGACTGCGTGAACCGTCTAAACGCCCTGGGAGGTAACAACAGGCTCGTTATAAGATGGGTTTCGGGTCGCGCGGGTATTGTAGGCAATGAAACTGTCGATAAGCACGCACGGGAGGGCTCAAAGAGTATACAATTTGGACCTGAGCCATTTTGTCGTATCTCAAAAAGCCTCGTCCGATTGACCCTAGAAACTCTTTACCACAATAAATCACTTAAGATGTGGTCTGATACACCAGGCTTAAAACATTCTAAAACCTTAATCCGGGCTTCCGATCGTAAATTCGCTTTGGAAGCCCTGGGATCAGGTAAAAATTAATTGCGCATTCTGGTCAGAGCCCTGACTGGACACTGTTGTCTTAAAAACACATGTCCTTCCTGGGACTAAGCAACTTAAGTATGTGCCGGTTTTGCTCCCTAGAAGAGGAAACGTCTTTACACATCCTGATGAATTGCGGACTCTTAAGGCACAAACGTAGGACGCATCTGGGAAAATATGTATTTCGCCCAGAAGAAGTGAAATTTCTCACAGCTAAGCAACTCCTTCTATTCATTGAAGACGTAGGCCTTAGCAGTGAACTATAGACATAGCAGCGATCACAATAGATCTTTTAGGTCGCAGTGATACAGGTGCAGCGCAGCTGCTCGTACATAATAAAAAAAGGTTTAATGATCTGTGGAAATGATCAAAGTGCTTGCCACAAGGACATTAGAACGCACGCACTTATCGGTAGGCATTTGTTTTGGCGGGATTGGTTATTAATTTTAGTTTTTGAGACAGTTCCGTGTTGACAATCACGTGCACGTGAGCAACAGTTCATTCGTTTTGTTTATTAAATTTTTGTTGTTACGTTTTGTGTATCTTGTTTTGTTTTAATAATGACTAACACGTACGTTTATAGTGCTCGTGAATACGGCAACATGTTAATGTACCTTGGAGAATATCATAAGGCCACGGAGTATTTAGATGAGTAATCTGTTTCATACCTAATTTTTTTTAAATAACAGTACTGAACTGATCCGAATAGGTACATAACTGAATACATCAGAATAATAAACATACCTACACAATGGATAAAAAAGCATGACTCTATCCTTGTTAACATCTCATTTAAATAAAATTTTCATTAGCGGGAAATCGAACTGGTTTAGGGAACCTGTGAATTCGAATTAAAGTGGCTAGGTGGAGACTAGCACAGTGGCAAAATAATAGGTTAAGATAAGATAGGTATTTAGACAAGTGTTGTAAATTGTTAGGTATTGGTACGATCGCTTGCTGCGGGCCGCGCGTTTTCGGCGTCCGCGTTTATATTGACCCTAGTCAGCTGATTTATTAATTTTAAATCACACTGCTGGTTTTATGTTTAATTATTTTAATGTTTTTTTTCGTTTCATTTAGTACTTTTATACTAATGTTTAGGCCAAAATATTAACATATTTTAAAAACTTGCATCAAGATGCGCGCGCGGCGCGAGGTAAACGCCGCCCGGGGGGGGGGGGGGGGGGAGGCGTGTGCCGCTTCCCGTCTTTCGGCCGTGTGGGCTAGCAACAGTGTATTGAACGCCGCGGTATTGTCGACCAGTGTTGTTTGCGACCGTTAGTGGGTCGGGCGCGGCTGGTGTCCATAATTGTACGCGTCGTTTGAATTTGCTATCGAATATTTAGGTCCGGCTGGGACCGCCTCGAATTGAGTGTCTGTTTTGAGTGTTACGTGACAAGAGGCCTAATTTGAAAAGGTGTTTAAAATGTAATGGAAAATATTTTAAGACATTAATTATATTAGTTTACTTATAATTTTTTTTTTTTAGTTATGAGACAAAACCTTCAGTATATCCCACATATTTAAGGGTTGTCTATTGGGTTGAGGGGGGGATAATGGTTTTATTTACCATCTTATCTTTCCAATCGTGACATAAGATGTAAATAAATTATTGATTAGAATTTGTCCATACTCACCAAGCTGTGCATGAAGGTCGGCAGTGCATTAAATGTTGATGCCCTAAATTCACTCACGTATATTGGTGACATTTTGATTTGAATATGTAAGTTGTAATTATACACTGTTGGCCTAATGACTCAGCTTTGTCGAAAAATATGTAGCAGTCGCAATAACAGATATCTCGCATCTTTAATACCCTCCTCCTCATCATATGGGAAATGTAAAGCGACAATTGTCCCACTTATGGGCAAAGGCCTCCCCTTATTTTTAAGAGAGTTATTGAGCAATAAATCCGCTGTTCTGCAATATGTATTATAGAATATTCTTCTAATGAGCCCATAAATGTCTACTTTTGGACGTAGATCTCTTCCGCTACAGGAAGGATTTGCTTCCTTTGTTTTAGAAATAGTGCTTGTTAGATAATAGTATTTTACCTCTAAAATTTTACGATCGCTTAATGATATACAATATAATCGTAAATTCAATAAACACAACAATATGCAGGGTGCTCCGACGGTCTACACTCTCTCCGCGGTCCAGTACGAATCGAGTGGGACAGTGACGTGTCTCCGCCTAGAACCGAAGTAAACTGTGTGCAAAGCATAGTGTCGACGAACGGACGAGCGTTGTTTGTATGCAGTGGTATACTGGCCCACGGCGGCCTTTTAGCACTGGGTTCTGCTCTGCGACGCTCAGCAAACCTCAAGCCCACCGTCAGTCTCAGTAGAGTACAGTTGCCTGAAGTCTCCGCCCCATGTCTAGTCAAGGTAACACTTTACGACTTCATTTTTGTAGATAGTAGCTTGTGTGTTTTGTATATGTTCTAAACAATGATAATAGTAATGTTTTAACAATGTATAAGCCACACCCATAAAAAAATATTAAAAATGACGTCCGCTCGATTGCTCGCTTATTATCTTGCTCACTCTATTGTTGCATCTTTATTTACACATCTCGCGAATGTGGCAACAAAAAACGTACAGCTTGGATTAATTATCCACGCTACGTTAATTTAGAAACACGTTTTTTTCTATACCTGTTTGGTAATTATTATTGAATTATAATTTATGAGAATAACTAGCTTATGTTTGTGTTTAATGCAATAACATTGATTTTTAATATAAAATATTATGATTAGTACGACCGGGGAAAATATTTTATAGGTAGGTACTATGTTTTGGTGACCTGGCCAACAGTACTTGCTGCCATTATTATATCGTTTTATTATTATCGGTCTTACTTATAACATAATCTCAAACATAAGTATGAAGTTAACGTTGACCACAATTTGTTAAATTACTCAAGATAAACTGGTAGAAATTTTCATGAGGCATTATGTTTATCCAGTGTTAATCTTATTTTAAGGTAAAACATAAACCTTATTGCTATTATTTCAAATTTTGTATTATTACATAATTATTTGAAAAAGTTATCATATTAAGCTAATTTCAAGCCCTTCCCGCCTGGTTGGTAATGAAGTTTTCCCATAGTAGGGAATAAAAAAAATACTTGCAAGACTTGATTACAAACATTGAGACGGTGAAAGTAAATAAAAGCTCATAAAAGGGGGAAATTTTATATTATTTTATGTCTAATTCTAGATGCTTGTAGAACTACTTAAATACTCTTAACTTTAATTTAATTTTAATCTTGCAGAAACCATCGCCATTTGAAAATAAGACGTAACAATACATAAATAATAAACAATATTCTTTCTGTAAAATAAACATAAACTAAACAAGTATCTCTCGCCCCAGGTACTTTCTGAAGAAGCAACTGAAGGTCCATGTGCTGTGGTCGCCTGTGGCCGGCGCGTTTTTATTTTACGCTTCGACGCAGTTAACACTGAATTCAAGATAGCACGCTCGCTCACGATTGACAGGCCACCAAGTTCACTACTGCTCACGACTAAGTGCTTGTTCCTTGCCGGGGAGAAGCCTCTCAAAGTGAATTTGCCCTCCGGCGCGTTAGAAACCTTCGCCGTAGACGATCCGACCGTCGCTGCTGCCTTAAAAAGTCACTCGTCACCTAAAGCAATCATCCTTGTAAGAAACGACCCCATTGAGCTACTAATTTGTTTTGCGGAATGTGGCGTGTTCGTGGACGAAAGCGGTAGGCGTACACGTAACGAAGACCCTAAATGGAGTTCGGCAGTACACAGTTGGGAGTTTGTGGCTCCCTTCCTTTACGCTGTCGGAACAGATAGAGTTACCATAATATACCTCAATGAAGAAGCATACAGAGCCCCGCCGTGTACCTGTGAAACGTCATCCACAACGTCCACTGCCTCTGAATGTTATATGCCAGAAGTGTTCAATTATAAAGTGAATGAACCCGCCTTACTCGGAACGGCACCTAATGGAATAATAATAAGCACGAAGAGTGATGACGGTTACTCAGTTTCAATAGTAGACGGTCTCGCAGCATTTCGAAGCATAGGCGCCTCTGTTGAATCACTAGAAACTACGTCAGAGTCAAAAGGCTCTTCCACCGACTTGACACTCTCATGCACTGACTTGTCACAACACGAAATGTCTAATGAAAGTGTAGAAGTGAATACAGGGTTTCTTGCCGATATAAGGAAAAGAGCGAAACAGCTTCGCAATGCAAATCGTAAGGGACAGTCTTCTGATGATGTCATCAAAGAAATTCTCACTACGGAAGTTGGATTGAAGCGAGTCTCATCCGGAAGAAAATCTCCAGCAGTAACTTCAGAGTTCGATTCCGATTCTGAATCCGATGAGAAAGGAACTGGCTCTACGAAGGGAACAGCTGATTTATGTGCTGAAATGTTTGCGAGGCAAGTGCGGTTCAAATAGGATTGTGTGATACATAATATTCGAAACGTTAACATAATGTACGTATTTGCTATAATTATATTTTATTTAATACCATATCCTTTTACAGGTAATCATAATGAATAATGTGATGCAAGTCTGTAGTTTGTTAAATGCTTATTTTACTCAGTTTTTGCTCAGTTGACTTCACATACCTTAATTAAATAATTGCAATAATCTCATAATATATTTAAATAGCGCAACATTATGTAGTGATCAAGTCATCAGAAATAACAGTTTGTGAAAAGTTTTTTTTAATTGTGTGTATTTTGATAGAATTAATTGTTTGAGCTTTGCTCAATATTTGTATTTATTTCTTAGTCATTTGTTAGTACTTTAATTTTATTTATTAATTGAACATTGAAATGTTTCCGTTATTTTTAGAATTCTTATAAAGTTTGTAATTGACATCTTTTTTCATAATTTTATAATGATATTGACATTGAACTGTTAGGACTTATTTTTGCCTAAGTTCCTTCTGGATAGATATCACCCTCTTATCTTTATCACCTAGTAGCAGTACTCGCACTGCTGTGTTCTAGTTTGAAAGGTAAGAAAGCGAGTTTAATTAGAAAGACTGAGGCATTTCCTCTTATACCACAATGCATCTGTCATCTCCTTTTTGGAGATAGCTGCAGGTGTCCTAATCTAAACATCACCTGATTTTAGTTTTTTTCTTAAGAATTGTTTTGTTAGAATTCCTAAATTTTTAGGTCTAATAAGTATGAAGGTGCTTGCCTATTCGAAATAAGAATTTCGTCACTATGTTTAATAATTTACTGTGATTTGATACAGCATATTAGTATGATGAATGTTTTAAGACTAATACCAGTAGAATAATTTTAATTGTAATTTATGGTAACTGATGTTATTGTTTATTATATTTTTTAAAATGAATGAATCGCTTTTTTTTTAACTGATACCAACCATTAAATAAACAGTATCCTTCTTATTATAAAAACTAGTTTATAATTAGTCTCAGGTTTAAACCAAAGAAATATAATTATACTAGTAAAACGTAGTTTCAAGAAGTCTCGCAGAAAAAATGTGAACTAAAATTTAAAGTATGGAATTTGAGTTTCTCTCAAATATCGCGAATACTAACGCCGCGAGTTCAATTATCATCATTTGAATTAGCCTGTAACTTCACTGCTGGACATGGGTTTCTCCCGTTCTGAGGAGGATTTGGCATAAACATTACGTTTCGCAGCCGAATTAACAATCGCTGTACAAGGAGTAAAATATCTAGACCGGCGATGAGGACGCAAATCTATGGCAAATTTTCTAAAATTCCTAATGTCGCGTCCGAACGCTTGGCACTCGCTGCAAACTCCAAATCTCTACAAACATTTGACTTGATTTTGAGAATCAAACGTCACCATCCACACGCTTGCGAGTTGCGTTAGTTTGTTATGAATAGGCAAGCATGACGAACATCGAGGTAGTCAAGTTTACGGAAACGTAAAACGATTTTTTAAAAACGATTTAAAATCTATTTATTTCTAATTACAATTATAATTCTAACTACTTAACTAACACGTAAATGACAAGCTTGTGGAAACTGTCCATGCGGTCGGAGCTAAGTTTTGCAAGACCCGCCGCAGGAGAACACAAAAACTCTCCGATCACACTCTTAACCGGTTCAGTGCGGGTGGCACGATGGCCAGGCGTGCCATCGATTACTTTTGTGTGTGGCGTATGACACGGGAGTCGTGTCTTTTTAAAAATCGGTATAACACGCTCAAATTGCTTTTTTGGAAGATTTATCCAGAACAAAATATTCATTATTTTGCAAGTAGTTCATGCCTGCAGCTTCGTTTCTGGATATTTTGAAAATATGAAATTTTTAGCGGTTGACAACCTTTTTTTAACGTGTACATGGTACTATTTTTACTTTGTGAGTTTTAAAATCATGTTGTGGAAAAATAGTCTAATAAGTAACAAATAATAGCACTCATTGCGATCGCTCACAAACTCAAGTTGTAAATAAATTTCTAGAAAATAAGTCTCCTGATAAAAGAAAACAGTGCGTTTGTCTTAGTTTAATTTTGAAAATGGTTGAACTGCCGTCTTATTACTATCATATGGCTGAATAGACCTACGAAGTACCAGCTCTTGTGATATGGTATAAGGTTTATTTTTGCTTGAAACAGTTCGAAACCGTTCATGCATAAAAAAAGTTCGCTAATAAATAGTCTTTTGTCAATCCGCCGCCGTATAGCGTCGGCGTTTTTTTCCTTTTGAAAACAATTGTTTTGCTATTCTTACTAATTAGACATTTTCAGATCGACTTTACTTTTACATTTGTATAACATTAAATAATATTTAACATTTGTAAATATCAATGAATCATAAACCTAATTTTTTCTTTAAGGTTTAAGGTTCTTCATTGTTTGATATTTACGAATGTTATTATTAGGTGAAAATTTAATTTAATAAAAACCAAGGTCTTCCAGGGTGATTTAGCCGTACCTACTAATTTAAATGTTTTTTTTATAAAACAAAAAATAGTACAAAAGGTTTGTAATCTCTGTATAAAAAAGTCACTTACTCTCAATTTCAAAGAAAACACGTAAATAAACACGTAGTTGATGTCAACTAAACTTAATTAGGTCTAAACAAGTGAAAAAAGCATAAAAAAGAACATTACTTTTACACATGGCTGATGGCACAATAGGCGTATCATCAACTTGTGACACGCTTGACACGCCAGGTGTGTCATTAAATATTTGTTCGCCGACATAGCTAGAAGTTGTCGGAAATTCTTGCCGCAACGAATCGGTTAACGTCATGGCTGTTAGACGGGAAATGAAGCTGCAGTAGATTTGATAGCATACAGGTAACTGAACAGACAGTTCTCCAAACGCATGCGGCGGGAGTTACGCAACTTTAATACTGCCCTGGTTCTACTCAATCGCTTCTTCAATCTCGTATTGAGTAGAACCAGGGCTCCAAAGTCCTTGCCAGAGATCTGTCTGCCAGAAAGCGCCAACTATCGAAGCTGAAGACCTAATGTGGTAGCATCGTTTCCGAGACACCTGAAATTTTGAGTGAGATTGAGAGGTTCTATGGGCAGCTGTACACGTCATCGTTGGAGCCACAAGGAAGTGTGAGTAACGATCCAAGAGCAAGTCTTATCCGACACTATTCCTATGATATCCCGGACGTCAGTCTGAGCGAGATTAGAATAGCTCTCCAGCACCTTAAAAACGGCAAGTCCCCTGGCGAGGATGTAATTACTGCGGAGCTCTTGAACGCGGGTGGAAAACCGGTACTTAAAGCTCTTTAATTCCGTCCTCCATGGTGGCACTACACCGGAGGCGTGGATAAATAAATAAAAATATCGATATATATCGTCGAATTTTAAATCGCGATATATCGACATATCGATATTTATTTTAGAGTATCGAATTCATATCAATTTCGATATATTTTAAAATATTGTATCGTTTTTTCCGTCAGTAGATAAAATTTTAGACCTTATCTTTACATCATTCAAATGATGACGATATATCGATATATCGATATTTATCACACGGTATATATCGATACTGTTTAAAAATATAGATTCGATATATATCGATATATTTTTTTTTGCTTTGCCCATCCTTAAATCACGGTGCTGGCTATATGCTTCATGGTGCTGGCGTTCTCAACTTGAATGCACTAGTGACGTACCGGGACAATATAATTTTACATTTGGGTTGTTTGGTTTATAAATTAATATTTTTATTTCTTGTCGCAAAAATAATTTAAATAATATATGAAATTAAACAGTTCATTAAAATATTACATTGTGATGACTTGACTATCATTTTAATTTTGAAACAATACAAATATAAATTTTTTGATAAATCTTTTACAGTGGCTCAGCACTGGTCTCAGAAATACCACGGGGATGGCGAGGCAGCAAGGTGTTTAATTTCATCTTGCACTTAGTAACACTATATATTTCTGCTAATTGTTTGACATTGGTATCTACAACTGTCCACAATTAATTAAATGTATTAAATTTAATAGCAAAATCGAATTAACCTTGCAGTTTTTCTAGTAACATGAACATTTCGGAATATTACGTGACGTCGCTGACGGTATTCACCTTAAGATTTGTAATATTACGGCTATGGCGGTGAAAGGGTTAAAAACGAGGATATCTGCAGTAGAACCAGAGTAACCGACATAGCCCACAGAATTAGTATGTTGAAATGCCAATGGGCCGGCCATATAGCTCGAAGAACCGACAACCGATGGGGAAGAAACTTTCTCGAGTGGCAGCCTCGTACCAGCTGGCGAAGTGTAGGGAGTCCTCCCACTAGATGGAGTGACGACCTGGTAAGACATGCAAGAAGTCGATGGATGCAGGTGGCTCAGGACCGTGCTTTGTGGCATTGGTGGAGGCTTATGTTCAGCAGTGGACTTGAAAAAAAAAAAGAATCAATTCAAACAGCAGTCACATTGGTAGCATCTTGGATGACGTCACTAAGTATTAGATGCTATAATAATAGCATGTGATTAGTCGATCGGCGTCGAAGGCACATCGCGAAACGTCAAATTCAATAAGAGAGCACCTCAATGTTTTTCAAATTACTTTCTTTTACAAATATACACTTTAAATCTAACATATTTTAGTTATAGTATAGTTCAATGCTTTGAACTTATAGGTCGTTACAAAATAAATTATTATACAAATTCACAAGTTTGCGCGTTTAACGTTAAAAAGAACACCTTTGTCGTATTTCTCCTCAGTTTCAGAGCACTTCCCTTGTTGCCGCAGCCAATAGCGGAATCTTCGGTGTCAAGATATTGAATGACCTGCAGTAGTATTGTCACTTGGAAGAGAAAGCTAAATTGGCTTCGAAAAAGCTTGTCGTACTCAGTAGAGCTTTTTTGTTCATGGTACTGTCCCTACCGTAAACAAAAAAGCCACCGTTTGCAACTTTTGACCTCACATGGAATACTTTTCTCATCTTTGAGCCGGGGCTCCCCAGTGCGAACTCCTTCCACTTGACTACAGAGCAGAGCGGCTCGGATCGTCGATGACCGAGTTCTCTTTGATTGGCTCGATTTTCTATCGTATTTAATACGGGGAGTGCTCTGAGGAATTGTTCAGATTAATTCCAGCCACCAAATTTCACTAACACACATCGTGACAAAACTTACGTTACCATCCACATCATTTGGATGCTTGGCGGTCCACTACCGGGCGATTTATTAAGAGTTTTCTTAAGAATCGTTTACCAACGGCAATCTTTATGGACCGATACGACTAAGGGACCTTTAAGAAACGAGCTTACTCCTTTTTAAAAGGCCGGCAACGCATCTGCAACTCTCCTGGTAGTGTAGAATTATATTAAAAATTAAAAAAAAAGCTATCTTGTTGACTGGTTGTACTGGCTGACATAGATATTTCATGTTAAAACCAACGACCGTGTGCCCCGACACAGGCTCAGCCGATTTCTTTATTGGTACCGGTACAGTATCGTTTACTATTTCACCTCCTTAAATATATAATATGTATATGATTAAATCGGCTTTCGGTATAATATTTTTTATCGATAACAATAATCGATAAACGTTGTCAACCACTAACTCTTTGGTAAATAAATCATGACGTTACTGAATAACAGAGGGCGCTTATTACAATAATAAATGTTCTAGAACAATCTACCAGAAATAATAAAATTTAAAAATTATTGGGTAAATATACATTATTCTTGCGATAATAAACCGAAATCACATTCGGTTTTTGCTCCATATCAGGACTTACAATACCTTAATGCACAATCGGGCATATTTTCAATAAAAAATATTTTTTCAACTTAGGAAACGAATGCGTCTTGAGCTTTTCACGATGTCACTAAGACTAAATGACACAAATCCGAAATATATCCTCTAGGACATAAGAGGTGACAATTTTGTTGCTGATGTCCGGCTATTACTACTCATAACATTTGGCTTAAGTTATTTTATTATACATGAAAACGAAAAATACGGCAAAAAAGATGGATATTAAAAAATCATAAAACCGTACTAGGCAATTATGAAATTATTTTATTATAGGTACTTATTTTCGCCACCAGTGCACCAACGAGACTGAGTGCGTACAAACGTATAACCGCTTCGCAAGCGCTTGCGGCAAATTGATTTGTGACAAAAAACCGACACAGTCGGATTGGCTGCAAGCGTTTTCAAACCTACGCAAACCATGCCTAACACTAACCACATCCTTGATTGAGGTCACTACTTTTTTGGCTACTTGTTGAGGTTTGCCAAGCATACGGACGCGACGTAAAAGCGAAGTGTTGCCGATGCGTTGAGGCGCATGTAGTGCCGCTGCGTACAACAATTAGATCACAGTGAGTTAGTGCATTGCGATTGTGAGGAGCAAAACCGAAACAGAAGATGGGTAGCAGCATCTGGCCTGGGGGGCTTTTGTAGATTCTAATAAACTTATGAATGAACAGTCTTTCGATTTTATCCACCGTCCGTCTTAATACACCGTAGTTTGGCAATGACCTGATATCTGAGAGGCTTTTAGAACAGTGCAGTTCACACCGCTGCCCACTGCGTGTTGACGGATATCACATATCATGAATCTATTTTTAGTTTCCCTTCACCGCCGACCACGTGTTGGGCGATGAAAAGTTTCAATGATATTGAAATCTCGACATAGCACAGCTTACTTTAAAAATATATATCCAATACTTTTTACCCATACTTAACCTGTGTATCATTAACGCCATTAAAGCCCATCACAAGTTGACTGCTGTACTTAGGTCACTCCCAAATACTACCCGTGCGGTTAAAGGATGGGATTAAAAATGGCGTCGCATCTATTCACCTCTCGCTCGCACACTGTCGCTAACTATAGTCATACCCACCGGTAAAGACTGCAAAAAAAAAAACTACGTTGTAATATGCGTTTTTCGTACGTTCTATAACTTCAGTCCAATTTTGAAATCAATAATAACAAAATGCCATAAACTACAAAAAAAAATTAGTACAGTTTTGCAGTTTTACAGTCCGAATTTGTGAGCTACAACACGTTCTGAGATTTCTTCATAATTTTATTGATGGTACATGCCATTGAGACATGAGTAAACATTTTTTTTTTTATTTTAGTTTGTCTGTCTGTCTGAGCTAATCTTCGGATAAAACTTCAAGAACAAATAGAGAGTAATACCAGGAGTGATCTAGACATTTTATGCACTGTACTATTATTATTACTTGGTTTCCTTAGCACGTGGTTATCAGAGCGGGTCGCTAGATATTGATGTTATTTTAAAATTAATGTACCTACTTGCGTATACAATTCCTTTCAAATGTTTTGCCACTAAGCAAAATTTCCAATTACCCTAATAATGTAACGTTATAACGATATACCCATATATTAGAGTGTGTTCGCTATTAGTACAGTGCATGTTTACGATACTGGCTCGATGAGCCGCCATTTCTAATCCCATTCTTTATCCGACGTATACTTGCTCCTGAAAGACATCAAGACTCGTGTTTGGCTTTTATTGATATTCGGCAAAATAAGTAATGAGAATTTCTGGAATTTTTTATTTACAATCTTATACATTTTACATCATATTATGTGAAGTGTGGTCGGAGAGTCGAACCAAATTTCCAATAATCTTCAATCCTCATCTCTTATAGAGACTACGAGACTCGTTCGTTAAACGCTTTTTACCTAACTGATTTTTTTCGTAGACCCGATTTCAACAACGGGATGTACTTAAAAAGTGTACTACATAAATCTGACAAAAGGCAGAGATCTCTTTTATTCACAAAAATAATGTACAACACAAACAATTATACTACACCTTGTTAACTCTGACAACCTATGCCTATTGAATTATATCTTAAACTCAGTCGAGAAAGTATTATATAATACAAGGATCATATTTATGGATAATTTATTTCATTACATACACTGGGATTTCACATAAGACAATAGATATAACACATCCCGACTCACATGTAACCGTCACACGTAATATTATTTTACACATAGAAAGGCTACAAATTCATACATACGATTTGAGGCAGTTTTAGCAATTTGTCGCGGTGTATCTCCGAAACCATTTTAACGGTTCGATAACTGGAAGAGCACATTTATTGTCTAGACATCGGGCCGCCTAAACAGCATTATCAGAACGCATTTTATAAATAACTTTATTTCGTATATATAATAAATTAAAGTGCATTAAATAGAAAAATTATTTGTTAACTGAATAGTGCAAATTAGCACTTTTCCGATTCGGCAAGCACATATGTATAAAGTAAACAAAACAAAATTTCACACCTCATAATCGCGTAAGTTCAGGCGCCGCCTGCCGTGCGATAGGCCTACGCTCATTTGAGATTTCACATTCAATATCGCTGCCTGTGCAACGTAATATGCATCGCATAAGAAAACTGTATTATAGAAGTTCCTTTAAAACCATATTTACAGTAAGATATTTTTTATACAAAACTCAAAAGTAGGAAAGGAGGTATATTTTTATATAAAAAAGTTAAAAATGCAATTTTACTTTAACTGCTTCACATGTTAAATGTTGTGCGCAGCGGTAGCAATTGAATAAACTGTACAATGTGATAGAAAAGCTAGATTCAGCTTCAAGCTCAGGTTACTATTAATTGCTCTTGCATTACGTCCATTTTTATATTTGAGTTAGTTTTTACAGCTTGATCTTTCCTAATTTAATTCAACTATTTGAGTTGATTTGCATTAAAAGTTATACACAGGACAAAACTAACTGGACAATGCATTTTCTGCTAACAAATTTCAGTTTTACTTTGGAGCGCCGTAATTGGTTATAGAAGTCTTTTCTTTCTGATATAGTTTTGTCTCGGCGTGCCCAGTGAGTAAATCTAGTGCATGCTATTGTCCTGAATTGCAGTTTAATTTAGGAATCCTCTACACTGCGGGGCGCCGCAGAGGCAAGGAATCTTCTCGTCTTCGAGCGGGAACTTGTAGTCGTACGTGATCTCTTCGTCGACGCCGATGGGCTGCTTTGAATATATCACTATTTTCTTCTGCGACTCGATTGTTATAATCTTCGCGTAGCAGTTTGGCTGTAAACACATATTATAATATATCAGTATACATATAGTAGCTGCAGTCGCACTACGTCAAAAATTTGTTTTTATGAGTAATCGGCGATCCGCCCCGGCTTCGCACGGGTGATTTCTGGATCTCGACAACAGCGCCACCTACCGGGCCCAATTGGGAATCTAAACCATCCAAGGACCCTTTCAAACACAAAAAATTTGATCAGAATCGGCCGAGCCATTTTCAACGTTTAGCGGGGAGACTAACTTGATTTTGGTATATATTTAGAAGATTACTAAAAACTACCATGTTCCTATCGAAAGCTTAAACGTCAATGAAAATGTGTGTATGAAAAGAGCTTATTCATTTTAATAAGTTTATTTATTATGCATGGATTTCGTTAGTGGTCTAATAAAATGCAACACAACATAGAAGATTCTATAGGTGGTATGACCTGCTTGGTCATACCACCTATAGAATTTAAAAAATGAACAACATTTAGAAAATTTTATCAATTATAACTAATGACATCGTATTGTATTGTAATAATAGTATAAAGCGTCTCACACACTACACACATACGATAATATTTTATCTGCGTTTAAAAACTTAATTATCTGAAAGTATCATACACTATGCAGATGCGATATACGAAATGATACATTCACTCGAAATCCATCGAACTTACAAGACGTGTTTTTTGGAGCCGATTGTTTATACAGAGTGTTGCCTACAATGAGTTGGCGTATATTGCTTCTAGATTTGCTGGACAGATCGTCAGAATAGGATTCAGATTTTGATTTTATGCATGTGTTACATTAGCATTTACTATAATTAAAAATTTTGTACAACCGATTTCAATATAAATTATTAAGAATAACTCAAAATCTACTGGTCAGACCATGATCAAATTTATATGGGACTACACGTGAAGCACCAGCTTTCAAATAAAAAAAAGAATCAACGAAATCGGTTCACCCAGAAAGAAGTTATGAGGTAACACACATAAAAAAAATATAGTCGAATTGAGTACCTCCTCCTGTTTAAAGTCGGTAGAAAAGGTGAATAATTTGGATAAAACGTCATATAGAGCATAAAAAAGGACCGAGGCGAATTAGATCGCATTTCTTCAGCGGCCACTTGTATTTATCTGCATGTAAAATATATTTGTATGAGCAGATAATATGAAATGATCTATATATTATGAATATGAAATATTTATGACATGAAATATGAAATACTATCTTCCGATGTATATCGGTACTTACAGATATTTAACGATAAAATATAAATTATCAGCGCTGTGAGTGTTATTTCATTGAATTTCATAGAAAGCGATATTGAAATATATGCGCTCAGATACAGATATCGTATGCGCGTAGTGTGTGACACGATAAATACAACTTTTACGTGTTTTATCGCGTTATCCTGACTATGGGTGCTGCAAAGCGATCGAGTTGTAAAACATCATACTTTAAGTAAGCGAAGGACGGAAGTAAGTGAGCGTAGGGCATTTAGATAATATAAATATTTGATAAATTTTTGAGGAGGGGAGGAGGGTGAGCAGACGTACGTTGCAGCTGTGGTTGATGAAGCGCGCCAGGTTGCCGCACTTGGTGGCGTCGATGATGGTGTCGAGGTCGATGCGGAACAGGTACGAGCTGCCGATGCCCGTAGCCTCGTACTGCGCCTCGCGCACGTCCGCCACGATGGGCCGGATCATCTGCCCCACGTACTCGATCACCATCTCGTCCGCTGCGATCGGCTCCTGAAACCGACCGGTGCAAAATATACAAACGTTTCAAACCTTTTTTTAATTATATGGCAGTGTTTGACTACAACCCCATGAGCGGTAATGAAACCCTGGTTTGCATTGTCTTAGCGTAACAAAAGCAAAAAAATTCATACTTCTTGAAATCACCCAGATTGTAATCGACTGAAAAGACAAACTTCGGAAAATTATTCTTCAATTTTGTCTCATGTATATATGAGCTGCTCTGCATACAAACAAAATTTTAGAGTGTACACATTAAAAAGTTACAACAAGCCATTTGGTTTCAAAGCGTGCAATATCGACAGCAATAAGTGTGTGGAGAACCACCGACCATTGTAATATTAAAATTACGCAAAGAATACAATTTACGAAAAACATTCCACAGTTCTTTATTCATAACATTCTATAGTTATGAGTATAATATACATAATATATCACAATAGTAGTTTACCTGAGCGAAAAGACCCCAATCGTGGATACCAGACTTGGCGAACTTCAGTTGCTTCTTTCTGAACTTTAGTTGATTGAATTTCAGCAGATCTGAATCCGTATCCGTACCTGTTAAAAAAATAGTGTTAACGATTCTGGAGATGTTATAAAATTTAAATTAAAATATTTGAAAATTATGTACATATTTCACAATTCTAGTTTTTTTTAAATGCCTATTTACGTTTCAAAGGTGGTCCCAGGCCTTCTTTCATTTCTAAGAGGAAAATAAAATAAATAATCTGCCGTGTACCTGTAACGCATGTTGGCAGACTTCGAATCGTGTTCTCAAGAGTCAACTTGTTTTTGTACAAATGATAAATCCGACCGAGATTCGAAGTATAACCTGGGCGTGGTGAGCAGGTAGCAGGTGGGAGGTGGGAGGTGGGAGGTGGGAGGCGGGAGGTGGGAGGTGGGAGGTAAGCACTAGGACAGTGGAGTTCGTCGCGTACCGAAGGCAGTGAGCAGGCGGCGCTGGTTGGAGCGCGCCTCGCGCGACAGCTGCATCTTGCTGGCCTTCTTGTGCTCGGTGAGCAGGTGGGAGGTGGGAGGTAAGCACTAGGACAGTGGAGTACGTGGCGTACCGAAGGCAGTGAGCAGGCGGCGCTGGTTGGAGCGCGCCTCGCGCGACAGCTGCATCTTGCTGGCCTTCTTGTGCTCGGTGAGCAGGTGGGAGGTGGGAGGTAAGCACTAGGACAGTGGAGTTCGTCGCGTACCGAAGGCAGTGAGCAGGCGGCGCTGGTTGGAGCGCGCCTCGCGCGACAGCTGCATCTTGCTGGCCTTCTTGTGCTCGGTGAGCAGGTGGGAGGTGGGAGGTAAGCACTAGGACAGTGGAGTACGTGGCGTACCGAAGGCAGTGAGCAGGCGGCGCTGGTTGGAGCGCGCCTCGCGCGACAGCTGCATCTTGCTGGCCTTCTTGTGCTCGGTGAGCAGGTGGGAGGTGGGAGGTAAGCACTAGGACAGTGGAGTACGTGGCGTACCGAAGGCAGTGAGCAGGCGGCGCTGGTTGGAGCGCGCCTCGCGCGACAGCTGCATCTTGCTGGCCTTCTTGTCGTCTGCGGCGGCACCGCGCCCGTGGTGGTACTTGTACTTGGCCTTCAGCCGCGCGTCCATTTTGTAGTAGCCTTCCGTCCGCGCTGCGCCGCTAGAGTGACCCTGCAAAACATCAAGTCGAATATTAGTGTATTTCCAATTTTTACTCAACTTCGTACCGGGTGTATGCCGTGTGGCTACGGTGTTAGAATATCCAATCGCCTATATCATTGCATGGGTGTCATATTTTGTAGTATTTTAATTTAAGTCTTTCTATTTTTACTTTCTTAATAGGAACGTAGAAGTTGGTGAACCACGGATTGGCGGCAGAAATAAAAAAATAGCGATGAACGTACTTCTAAGTTACACCGTTAGATAGTAGGATTTTTTCTTGACGAGGAGTTGTGAACGCATAATATGTAGATCTCTATTTTTGAAGTTGGCTGCACCTGCAGGTGTCTTTACTGGCTGCAGTAGTCACTTACTATTAAGTGTATTTTTTATTTTATAGTATAAGAGTGACAAACGAGCACACAGTCCACCTGATGGTTAGTGGATGTTGTGGCTCACTGACACGTACCTCTATCCTCGACTAAGAATCGAAATGTAGATGCATTGTCAGTTTTGAGGGCTAAGATGCAATGCCTCGGCAGTAGAAGCGCGCGACGGCCGCCAGCAGCATGTCGTACGCGGCCCGCGCAGTGCGTACCTGCAGCTCCTCGTACATGTTGGCGTGGCGCTTGGACTTCTTGCGCGGCGGCGTGTAGGCGAGGTCGGTGGGCGGGTGGTCGACCCAGTGCGTGTCGTGCAGCCAGTAGCCGCGCAGTGCGTACCTGCAGCTCCTCGTACATGTTGGCGTGGCGCTTGGACTTCTTGCGCGGCGGCGTGTAGGCGAGGTCGGTGGGCGGGTGGTCGACCCAGTGCGTGTCGTGCAGCCAGTAGCCGCGCAGTGCGTACCTGCAGCTCCTCGTACATGTTGGCGTGGCGCTTGGACTTCTTGCGCGGCGGCGTGTAGGCGAGGTCGGTGGGCGGGTGGTCGACCCAGTGCGTGTCGTGCAGCCAGTAGCCGCGCAGTGCGTACCTGCAGCTCCTCGTACATGTTGGCGTGGCGCTTGGACTTCTTGCGCGGCGGCGTGTAGGCGAGGTCGGTGGGCGGGTGGTCGACCCAGTGCGTGTCGTGCAGCCAGTAGCCGCGCAGTGCGTACCTGCAGCTCCTCGTACATGTTGGCGTGGCGCTTGGACTTCTTGCGCGGCGGCGTGTAGGCGAGGTCGGTGGGCGGGTGGTCGACCCAGTGCGTGTCGTGCAGCCAGTAGCCGCGCAGTGCGTACCTGCAGCTCCTCGTACATGTTGGCGTGGCGCTTGGACTTCTTGCGCGGCGGCGTGTAGGCGAGGTCGGTGGGCGGGTGGTCGACCCAGTGCGTGTCGTGCAGCCAGTAGCCGCGCAGTGCGTACCTGCAGCTCCTCGTACATGTTGGCGTGGCGCTTGGACTTCTTGCGCGGCGGCGTGTAGGCGAGGTCGGTGGGCGGGTGGTCGACCCAGTGCGTGTCGTGCAGCCAGTAGCCGCGCAGTGCGTACCTGCAGCTCCTCGTACATGTTGGCGTGGCGCTTGGACTTCTTGCGCGGCGGCGTGTAGGCGAGGTCGGTGGGCGGGTGGTCGACCCAGTGCGTGTCGTGCAGCCAGTAGCCGCGCAGTGCGTACCTGCAGCTCCTCGTACATGTTGGCGTGGCGCTTGGACTTCTTGCGCGGCGGCGTGTAGGCGAGGTCGGTGGGCGGGTGGTCGACCCAGTGCGTGTCGTGCAGCCAGTAGCCGCGCAGTGCGTACCTGCAGCTCCTCGTACATGTTGGCGTGGCGCTTGGACTTCTTGCGCGGCGGCGTGTAGGCGAGGTCGGTGGGCGGGTGGTCGACCCAGTGCGTGTCGTGCAGCCAGTAGCCGCGCAGTGCGTACCTGCAGCTCCTCGTACATGTTGGCGTGGCGCTTGGACTTCTTGCGCGGCGGCGTGTAGGCGAGGTCGGTGGGCGGGTGGTCGACCCAGTGCGTGTCGTGCAGCCAGTAGCCGCGCAGTGCGTACCTGCAGCTCCTCGTACATGTTGGCGTGGCGCTTGGACTTCTTGCGCGGCGGCGTGTAGGCGAGGTCGGTGGGCGGGTGGTCGACCCAGTGCGTGTCGTGCAGCCAGTAGCCGCGCAGTGCGTACCTGCAGCTCCTCGTACATGTTGGCGTGGCGCTTGGACTTCTTGCGCGGCGGCGTGTAGGCGAGGTCGGTGGGCGGGTGGTCGACCCAGTGCGTGTCGTGCAGCCAGTAGCCGCGCAGTGCGTACCTGCAGCTCCTCGTACATGTTGGCGTGGCGCTTGGACTTCTTGCGCGGCGGCGTGTAGGCGAGGTCGGTGGGCGGGTGGTCGACCCAGTGCGTGTCGTGCAGCCAGTAGCCGCGCAGTGCGTACCTGCAGCTCCTCGTACATGTTGGCGTGGCGCTTGGACTTCTTGCGCGGCGGCGTGTAGGCGAGGTCGGTGGGCGGGTGGTCGACCCAGTGCGTGTCGTGCAGCCAGTAGCCGCGCAGTGCGTACCTGCAGCTCCTCGTACATGTTGGCGTGGCGCTTGGACTTCTTGCGCGGCGGCGTGTAGGCGAGGTCGGTGGGCGGGTGGTCGACCCAGTGCGTGTCGTGCAGCCAGTAGCCGCGCAGTGCGTACCTGCAGCTCCTCGTACATGTTGGCGTGGCGCTTGGACTTCTTGCGCGGCGGCGTGTAGGCGAGGTCGGTGGGCGGGTGGTCGACCCAGTGCGTGTCGTGCAGCCAGTAGCCGCGCAGTGCGTACCTGCAGCTCCTCGTACATGTTGGCGTGGCGCTTGGACTTCTTGCGCGGCGGCGTGTAGGCGAGGTCGGTGGGCGGGTGGTCGACCCAGTGCGTGTCGTGCAGCCAGTAGCCGCGCAGTGCGTACCTGCAGCTCCTCGTACATGTTGGCGTGGCGCTTGGACTTCTTGCGCGGCGGCGTGTAGGCGAGGTCGGTGGGCGGGTGGTCGACCCAGTGCGTGTCGTGCAGCCAGTAGCCGCGCAGTGCGTACCTGCAGCTCCTCGTACATGTTGGCGTGGCGCTTGGACTTCTTGCGCGGCGGCGTGTAGGCGAGGTCGGTGGGCGGGTGGTCGACCCAGTGCGTGTCGTGCAGCCAGTAGCCGCGCAGTGCGTACCTGCAGCTCCTCGTACATGTTGGCGTGGCGCTTGGACTTCTTGCGCGGCGGCGTGTAGGCGAGGTCGGTGGGCGGGTGGTCGACCCAGTGCGTGTCGTGCAGCCAGTAGCCGCGCAGTGCGTACCTGCAGCTCCTCGTACATGTTGGCGTGGCGCTTGGACTTCTTGCGCGGCGGCGTGTAGGCGAGGTCGGTGGGCGGGTGGTCGACCCAGTGCGTGTCGTGCAGCCAGTAGCCGCGCAGTGCGTACCTGCAGCTCCTCGTACATGTTGGCGTGGCGCTTGGACTTCTTGCGCGGCGGCGTGTAGGCGAGGTCGGTGGGCGGGTGGTCGACCCAGTGCGTGTCGTGCAGCCAGTAGCCGCGCAGTGCGTACCTGCAGCTCCTCGTACATGTTGGCGTGGCGCTTGGACTTCTTGCGCGGCGGCGTGTAGGCGAGGTCGGTGGGCGGGTGGTCGACCCAGTGCGTGTCGTGCAGCCAGTAGCCGCGCAGTGCGTACCTGCAGCTCCTCGTACATGTTGGCGTGGCGCTTGGACTTCTTGCGCGGCGGCGTGTAGGCGAGGTCGGTGGGCGGGTGGTCGACCCAGTGCGTGTCGTGCAGCCAGTAGCCGCGCAGTGCGTACCTGCAGCTCCTCGTACATGTTGGCGTGGCGCTTGGACTTCTTGCGCGGCGGCGTGTAGGCGAGGTCGGTGGGCGGGTGGTCGACCCAGTGCGTGTCGTGCAGCCAGTAGCCGCGCAGTGCGTACCTGCAGCTCCTCGTACATGTTGGCGTGGCGCTTGGACTTCTTGCGCGGCGGCGTGTAGGCGAGGTCGGTGGGCGGGTGGTCGACCCAGTGCGTGTCGTGCAGCCAGTAGCCGCGCAGTGCGTACCTGCAGCTCCTCGTACATGTTGGCGTGGCGCTTGGACTTCTTGCGCGGCGGCGTGTAGGCGAGGTCGGTGGGCGGGTGGTCGACCCAGTGCGTGTCGTGCAGCCAGTAGCCGCGCAGTGCGTACCTGCAGCTCCTCGTACATGTTGGCGTGGCGCTTGGACTTCTTGCGCGGCGGCGTGTAGGCGAGGTCGGTGGGCGGGTGGTCGACCCAGTGCGTGTCGTGCAGCCAGTAGCCGCGCAGTGCGTACCTGCAGCTCCTCGTACATGTTGGCGTGGCGCTTGGACTTCTTGCGCGGCGGCGTGTAGGCGAGGTCGGTGGGCGGGTGGTCGACCCAGTGCGTGTCGTGCAGCCAGTAGCCGCGCAGTGCGTACCTGCAGCTCCTCGTACATGTTGGCGTGGCGCTTGGACTTCTTGCGCGGCGGCGTGTAGGCGAGGTCGGTGGGCGGGTGGTCGACCCAGTGCGTGTCGTGCAGCCAGTAGCCGCGCAGTGCGTACCTGCAGCTCCTCGTACATGTTGGCGTGGCGCTTGGACTTCTTGCGCGGCGGCGTGTAGGCGAGGTCGGTGGGCGGGTGGTCGACCCAGTGCGTGTCGTGCAGCCAGTAGCCGCGCAGTGCGTACCTGCAGCTCCTCGTACATGTTGGCGTGGCGCTTGGACTTCTTGCGCGGCGGCGTGTAGGCGAGGTCGGTGGGCGGGTGGTCGACCCAGTGCGTGTCGTGCAGCCAGTAGCCGCGCAGTGCGTACCTGCAGCTCCTCGTACATGTTGGCGTGGCGCTTGGACTTCTTGCGCGGCGGCGTGTAGGCGAGGTCGGTGGGCGGGTGGTCGACCCAGTGCGTGTCGTGCAGCCAGTAGCCGCGCAGTGCGTACCTGCAGCTCCTCGTACATGTTGGCGTGGCGCTTGGACTTCTTGCGCGGCGGCGTGTAGGCGAGGTCGGTGGGCGGGTGGTCGACCCAGTGCGTGTCGTGCAGCCAGTAGCCGCGCAGTGCGTACCTGCAGCTCCTCGTACATGTTGGCGTGGCGCTTGGACTTCTTGCGCGGCGGCGTGTAGGCGAGGTCGGTGGGCGGGTGGTCGACCCAGTGCGTGTCGTGCAGCCAGTAGCCGCGCAGTGCGTACCTGCAGCTCCTCGTACATGTTGGCGTGGCGCTTGGACTTCTTGCGCGGCGGCGTGTAGGCGAGGTCGGTGGGCGGGTGGTCGACCCAGTGCGTGTCGTGCAGCCAGTAGCCGCGCAGTGCGTACCTGCAGCTCCTCGTACATGTTGGCGTGGCGCTTGGACTTCTTGCGCGGCGGCGTGTAGGCGAGGTCGGTGGGCGGGTGGTCGACCCAGTGCGTGTCGTGCAGCCAGTAGCCGCGCGCGTCGGCCGCCAGCAGCGCCTCGTAGGCGCGCCGCAGCAGCTGCACGTCCTCGCGGTCCACGCCGCGCGTCAGGAACGAGTACATCACTTGCATCTCCGCCATCATGTCGCGCGCCGGGAACCGAACCTCCTCCTCCCGCTCCATGCGCAGCGGCTCGTGCAATCTGACGAGCACACGGTTAACGCTTTGTTTATCTTGCACACTTTCATACTGTCGTTGTCTACACTTACACCCCTTGGTAACGACCACAATTATATTTTTAAAGTTATAAGAAGCTTTAGAAGTCAGTGCTACACAATAACTTCTGAAGCTATTCTTATAACTTTTTTAATTAATAATTATAAAAATATTATAAAAATTAAATATAATGTGTAGAAGAAGTAAATCCGCAACTTCTGAAGTTATTCGTCCGCAGCAAATCGTACAATCTGACAATCACGCAGTTATCGCTTTATTTAACTTTTCACCTTTCTCTTGCATAGTCATAACGACATACCAATATACTTATACCAATGGTAGCGTCTGCAAAAAATATTTTTAATAAAAAAATTAATTTAAATTAAAAGTATACAAGTCTCCGACTTCATACATTCTGAGTTCTGACAATCACACCCAACTTCTGTAGCTATTCGTACGCAGCAAATCGTGCAGTCTGACAATCACACGATTGGCGCTTTATATACTACTCGCATAAATGGATTATTCACTTCTCGCTGGCACAATTAAGCTTGAAAAAAAATTAAGTCATTTTTAATACGTAATTTTTTTTGGTTTAATTTTTTTAAATTTAATTACATTTGGTTTTTTTTTCCTATCGACAAAATGTTATCCTGTAATATATTTCTCATACGCGAATACCTTTTAATGGCTGTGTACGTAACCTTAATTTGTGGGTAGCTTTAATACTTTTGTGAAATGGCACATTGTTTCGTGTATGCTTTATTTCGCCAAATGCGTAAACATATGAAAGGCCAACATAAAAAGTTGACAACAACAAAACAACTCAAATGTTATAAATGTTACGGATTTTACGATAATTATTTTAAAATCGAAAGCGTAACGGAAACCAGGATATCGATCGGAGCCTTAGAGGTACACAGGCCCTAACATACTTACAGAAAAACTTAGGAAATACTTAACCCTCCCTACTACCTAAAAGTTTAAAGTAGTGCCTTAGGCATACAGTTTAAAATAGGGCCCACAAGGCCTAGCCCTGGCTATGTTAGCATTTACATTAAGGAGATGATTAAAACAAACCATGGCGACAGAGGAACTAAGATGCTTAATTCTCTATTATTTATTTTATGCACGGGAAAATGGGAAATTGAAATAATTTAAATTTACATGCAATAAGGTATTGTTTTAGTAATTCTGTTTAAAAGTTTCCTCTTACTTTTAAAGGTTTTAAGTCAACATAAATAAACGTTTAAAACTATATGAATAAGATCTCACTTGTTTTGAATTTCTGCAAGTTTCTTCGCTTCATGTTTCCGCTTGTACGGCCTCTTGGTCTCCTTCTTAGGCTTGAGTTCTTCTAACGTAGACTCGATTTCTGGTTCTGCCATCCAAGTATAGCCTAATGAGACAGCATTAATGCATAAAAATCTCATGAAGTTTAAATAAATTAAAATTATATCTTGTTAACATCTTTAAGTAACCCCATTCTTATTTCAGAATATTTTTCCTTTTCACATAGCATAGTACGGGTGCTAGGGCATGTTTTTTTTTTACCTCTTTCTTACGAATATCTGTTCTAGAGCAGCAGTGAATCCACTTTCAGTTTGAATAATATGCATCTTGCACCCGGAGGTTGTTAGATTTAATTTGGCTGCAGGTGTTCATTGGCATATCATCCCTACCTTCCGCAGCCGAATCTTTGTTGGCGGCGGAGCCATAGACTAAATCCACAGCTGGGGTCTAGAAAGCTAGTGCTTCCAAGTGATCGTTTTTCCTGGCCCCATGGCCATCGCGTATCGGACTCGAGGGAGTCCGTTTCGCAGTTGCAGTAAAAGGCCGTGGAGGAAAGCGCGCCTTGTGTTCCTGGTGCGCCTTACCTGAGAAGGAAATGGGTGAAGAAGTCTTCCCCGAGGAAAGGCTGCCATGGGGCATAAGACATTACATATTTTTTTCATTCATTACATAGTAGTGGTGCAGATGATTGCGGGCTGGCTCATCGTGGTACCGGTGCAGGTGAGATTTGGCTCACTGTAGTCGTGGTGCTTTTTGGTTGTGGGCTGATTCACCGTGGTCGTGATGGTAGTGGTTGTGGGCTGGCTCACCGTGGTCGTGGTGCAAGTGATTGTGGGCTGGCTCACCGTGGTCGTAGTGCAAGTGGTTGTGGTATCACCGTGGTCGTAGTGCAAGTGGTTGTGGTCTGACACCGTGATCGTGGTGCGAGAGGTTGTGGGCTGGCTGACCGTGGTCGTGGTGCAAGTGGTTGTGGGCTGGCTTACCGTGGTCGTGGTGCAGGTGGTTGTGGGCTGGCTCACCGTGGTCGTGGTTCAGGTGGTTGTGGGCTGGCTCACCGTGGTCTTGGTGCAGGTGGTTTGGAGCTGGCTCACCGTGGTCGTGGTGCTGGTGGTTGTGGGCTGGCTTACCGTGGTCGTAGTGCCGGTGGTTGTAGACTGGATCACCGTGGTCGTGGTGCAGGTGGTTGTGGGCTGGCTCACCGTGGTCGTGGTGCAGGTGGTTGTGGGCTGGCTCACCGTGGTCGTGGTGCAGGTGGTTGTGGGCTGGCTCACCGTGGTCGTGGTGCAGGTGGTTGTGGGCTGGCTCACCGTGGTCGTGTTGAAGGTGGTTGTGGGCTGGCTCACCGTGGTCGTGGTGCAGGTGGTTGTGGGCTGGCTCACCGTGGTCGTGGTGCAGGTGGTTGTGGGTTGGCTCACCGTGGTCGTGGTGCAGGTGGTTGTGGGCTGGCTCACCGTGGCCGTGGTGTAGGTGGTTGTGGGCTGGCTCACCGTGGTCGTGGTGCAGGTGGTTGTGGGCTGGCTCACCGTGGTCGTGGTGCAGGTGGTTGTGGGCTGGCTCACCGTGATCGTGGTGCAGGTGGTTGTGGGCTGGCTCACCGTGGTCGTGGTGCAGGTGGTTGAGGGCTGGCTCACCGTGGTCGTGGTGCAGGTGGTTGTGGGCTGGCTCACCGTTGTCGTGGTGCAGGTGGTTGTGGGCTGGCTCACCGTGGTCGTGGTGCAGGTGGTTGTGGGCTGGCTCACCGTGGTCGTGGTGCAGGTGGTTGTGGGCTGGCTCACCGTGGTCGTGGTGCAGGTGGTTGTGGGCTGGCTCACCGTGGTCGTGGTGCAGGTGGTTGTGGGCTGGCTCACCGTGGTCGTGGTGCAGGTGGTTGTGGGCTGGCTCACCGTGGTCGTGGGGCAGGTGGTTGTGGGCTGACTCACCGTGGTCGTGGTGCAGGTGGTTGTGGGCTGGCTCACCGTGGTCGTGGTGCAGGTGGTTGTGGGCTGACTCACCGTGGTCGTGGTGCAGGTGGTTGTGGGCTGACTCACCGTGGTCGTGGTGCAGGTGGTTGTGGGCTGGCTCACCGTGGTCGTGGTGCAGGTGGTTGTGGGCTGGCTCACCGTGGTCGTGGTGCAGGTGGTTGGAGGCGCGGCGCTCGTGCGGCGAGGCGGGCGTGGGCGGCGGCCGGCAGTACGAGTGGTCCAGCGCCACCTGCGACGCTTGAGACGCTTGGGACGCTTGCGACTGGGGCGACGATGTCTCCGACAATGCACTGCTTGTCTTCTACACAACATTTTAACGTTATAATTATAGCACCGTTTAGGATTTAAAATATCTAAGTTTCCAACTATATAAATAAATAAAATTGATAATAAATTATATTTTTATGTCCATTTTTTTTCTTTCATTCAGAAAACGTGATAGATTATAAAAATGATGATGATAAGTATGAATCACCGATGATTACTACAGATAACGTTACGAAAACGCCTCTTTTAATTATTAACCTCTAACAAGGACCAAAAACCTTTCATATTCAAATGTTTAATGGAACATTTTCAACTAGCGATTTTGTTTTGTGCACGTTTATCATCTTTATTGACAAGTTTGCATAAAGAAGTAAATATATTTATACCGTACTTACCTCCTTAATACCATTGACCCCAAAAGCAGATTCAATGTGACTGTGCTCATCACTACCCGAAGTTATCCTTTCTCTCTTTTCGTCTTTTCTCTTTTGTTTTTTGTCTTTCTTCGGCCGGGAATCCAGAGGCTCTTCCTCAGAAGTGATCTCACCCTCTTCCACATCTGCTGTCTTTTTACTTTTCTCTGGTGATTTCAAATGGTTTTTCACAGGACTGCTTATATCTTCAGGCTTACTATCTAATAAACTGTAGAAAAAAGGAAATTATGAGATTGTTTCAATTCCCACAATCTATGTTTTCAATAAATAATTAAAACAAACATTTAAATTTATTCTCTGATCCTAAAATATTATAAAATTAAGGTACAAAGTGAACGAAAATAATGAATATACCTTTCGAAAAAAATATACTTGCGAAAAAACTGAACATGCTTGGCAAGGCACAAGTTTTTGTCGATATTTTTTAAATAAAAAAGATTTGCATGTAATAATTCTGTAAAGAAAGTATACCTGTCATCAGGCGGTTTGTCGGGTTGTGGCCTTGTATCTCCTTCCAACTTTCGCCGCTGCTCTTCCAAGAACTCTCTTTCGATCTGTTCCATATATTCTGTGTTTCGTCTTCTTCTTTCCTGAAAATGTAAAAAAGGTTTGCATAAATTTATCAGGGGTGACCACGCATCTGCATTGTGATCCCGTTAAGTATACGTATAGTAGTAAGCTCGCGTCTATGGTGCATATTCATCCACTTGCCCGCAGGTAGAATGCTGTTTTTTTGTATTGTAGGAGTGGATGTCAGGGGACTTCATAAATTTTCTAAATGCCAGTCTTACCTATACTCCGTACAATATATTAATACATATAGAATAACATTATTTATTTATTTTACTTGATTCTGAATAAAACTAGCTTGGAAATTAAAGTTGACAAACCAATAATAGTCATCCACAACTTACAAGTAACAATATGGCTCAGAAGAGCTACACACTATTGAGCGACGTATACTTACTGCGCAGTGTGGCGCGTTCGTGAGCACGTGCACGCATACGTGCGTGCGTAGTGTGCGTGTTCATTTTAAATAGTCAAACATTTTCCACAGACTAATGAGAGGCAGCACAGCACTAGTATGTGAGTTTGCGTTTACCAACTCGCCTGCCCAGCCTACTGAGTAAGGACAAATTTTCAAAGATGCCATATTCAGCAGTCAATTTAAAAAGTTGTGTATTTCGTTCTTTGTATGTGTAACAAAATACCGCTTACCAATGTGTGATGGATTGTAATAATGTTGTGACTTCTTATTATCGATTCAAATTTCAATAACTACCTGATATTCACGTTCTTCTTCGGAGTCAGAATACACGCGATCAAGTAGAAGATCTCTCGGTTCTTCTTCAGGTGACAGTATAGGTGAGCCCAACCTTTCTGCCTCGAGGGGTGTGCACTCTTCACCCGTCTCGTCCATTTCCACTGGAGGTATTGGAGTTTTTTCTGTGAAGTTACAAGACTGAGGGATTAACGAAGTTTTTTTTTAAATACTTTAACCTAGACTAGAAATTTGTCTCTAAATAAGAGATGTGAGTATTACTGCACAAGTAAATCTATAGCCGCTTGTGATGTTTACTAAATTCTAAGAAGTCATCAAGTTTCATAAGCCCAAATATGTATCGTAAGTAAAAATATTGGCTTCGCTCCAGTTTATTAAAATTCACTTTTATAATATCAAGATAACTAATAATATCCCTAGAAAATCTTATGAAAAAAGCATTGAGGTGAGTTAAAAAACTCTTATACGTAACTTATGTGTATTTAAATAAATGCTGACTCTGGCTAGGTTTCTTCGAACTCTGACCACTACGCCACATGGCCGTCATTATGTACACTACATATGCAAATATACAAGCCACATCTACCCAAATAAAACTTATTTATAAGTTAAAAGTTACAAAAAAAATGCAAGCAAACCTCTTCTACTCTGTTCCTCTTCACTATCTGATGATGAGGAGTACACTCTCCTAAGCCTCTCCTTGTTAGATACCACCTTAAACTGCGAAAAATCACATTTATAGTCATGAATATATTATTTTTCATATATAGGCCAATATCTTGTCTTTATGAAGAAAAAAAATTCAGATAAAGGGTTTTTTCTGAACTATTACTATTATCTTCTTTTTTTATTAAAAAATCTGATAATTATTGCGGCATGTCAGTACTATTCATACATTGTAAAGCTAATTAAAAAAAGTTCGTGTAAGAGGAAACATGTCGTGTAGCCGCAGCGTAAGAAGATTCATTAATCAATTTCGTCCCGTGGGTGTTGTAAGTGGCGACTAGGGGATTTATGCTAAAAATATCTTATGCCAAAGATCTTATGGCGTCGATAGATGGCGTTATAACCAACCATCTTGTTTACGACTGGCGTAAAGAAGCCAGACCGACGACGAGAAACAGTGTAACGTGTGCTACTGCGATCGTCAATCCGCCTACCAAGCGTGACGATTAAGTCTAATCCTGTCTACAACGGAAGAGACTTATGTCTAGCAGTGGATTATTACAGACTAATGATAAAGAGAATATGTGCCAACTTTATCTGAACGCAGTGCGACCTACTGATGGACCGACATGGTTCTGGCGACCGACTGACGGCGGGAAATCCATCTATACATGCTGAACTCAAATTTCACAGGTCGGTGATATAGATTAGCAATACAAGTGTGGGAGTCTCAGCTTAGCGGTCATTAAGTAGCCTGCCCAGCATGGTAAGAATATGATTTCAAAAAAAACGTTTGTCCGCTCGCATTTGCCTGGATACCTGTTTTTTTTTTATAGTTAAAGTTTCAGCCTATATACGTCCCACTGGTGGGCACAGGCCTCCCCTCATTTCTGAGTGGGTTTTAGGGCAAGGAAATGTCCGCCGCACTGCCCCAATGCATGTTGGCGAACTTCATATGTCCTCGAAATTTTGTTTTCTTATTTCTCAGACATGCAGGTTTCCTCACGATGTTTTCCTTCACCGCCGAGCACGTGGTAAATGAGCACTTAAAATTGCAATTAACAATGTCATTGGTGACGGTGGGGATCGAACTCGGGTTGCTCGCGTACTGTAAGATTTACAGCGAGCTATAACCATCTGAGCTACCACGGCTTTTTTATAGTACAAGGTACAAAAGAACACACAGTCCACCTGGTGGTAAGAGGATGCTGTGGTCCACAGATATCTACATTTATCTTCGATTAAAACGATCGATTCGAATTAAAACGCTGATGCATTGTCACCTCTGAGAACTAAGATGGAATGGCTTATTTCCATTAAAAAGGATATCTTTTTTTTAAAGAATTAGAGTGACAAACGAGCACACAGTCCACCTGATGGTAAGTGGTTGCTGTGGTCCATAGACATCTACATCTATCTTCGCTTGCGAATTAAAATGCAGATGCGTTGTGAGCCGTGAGGACTAAGATAGAATGCCTCTTTTCCAGTAAAATAGGTATCCAGTTCTCTACACTCACCATACGAAACACAGCAGCATTAAGCTGCTATTTTACGCTGGTATTCTGTGAGAGCGTGGTCCTTCCCCGGTCGAGCGGACCCATTTGTGCTTCAATTATAATATTAATATAGCTACAGCATGGCTCTACCCCACGTATATGTTCTCTACTCTCACCATACGAAACATAGCAGCATTGAGCTGCTATTTTACCCCAGTAGAAGCGATCCATTCATGCTACAACCATAATATAGCTGCTGTGTGGCTCGAAGTGTTTTAAATGTTCTGAGGTGGACCAAAAATGGGTGGCAATGGATGCGTAAAATCTCAAGAGACTACGGAATTTCATTTGGCACTACCCCTAAACACTTCTCTCGCTTTCTTTACATCCATAATTTAGTCTATCTTCGATATACTGCTTAACAATTTCCCTGTCTGTGATGAAACAGACACAATATAGTTATACAATCGAAATGTTCATATATGATTCATGGGACAGGGAAAGGGTTAAGGTCGATAAAGTTCTATCTAGAGCGTCCCTTGCCGTTGCCTTGCCTTGTCTTCTTTCTGGCAACATTTAATGTGTAAAAAAGTTTAGCTATAATGTTTGGTAAGCGCACCTCAGCCTCGTCGAGGTCGGTGTCAATGTCGGAGTCGGAGTAGAGACGCGGCGCCGCGCCCTTGCGCTCCGAGCCCGAGCCCGACCACGACGACCGCGACGACGACGACGACGACGACCTGCACGCGCACACACAAACATTTATTTATTTATTCGTTGACCGAAAAAGCAACCACCATAACATTCTTTATAGTAACTAAAGATTTAGAAAAACTTCATAAGTGTCACCTCAATTGCACATGCAAACACAACCACACTACATAGTATGAATAGAGTAGAATAGAATCATTTTTATTCAATACTAGCTGCTCCCCGCAACTTCGCTCGCGTGTTAGAGTTTTTATGTTTTTGCGCGGAACCCTAATTCTTTTCCTAAAATAAAAGTAGCCTAAGTTACTCCTTATGAAATCAGCTACCAGCCAGTGAAAGTCGCGTCAAAATCGGTCCAGCCGTTTCGGAGATTAGCCGAAACAAACAGACAGACAGACATTATACTTTCATTTGCAATTAGTAAAACGCTGTAATTTTGACATTACAAACAGACACTTCAATTTTATTTATTTGTATAGATAGATTATAGTACATAATACTTATTGAAAGTCATTTTTACTTATACCACTGGTTCGCAAAAAAACCTCTGCCCTGGGAAGAACCAGCAAGAAACCCAGCGGGACTTTTTTAAAAAAAAGCACAATTTATAATATAATATTTTATACAATTATTTAACATTTAGAAACAGCATGGTAGTGATCACCTCATTCCTAGGGGCTATTATCAGTCATGTACTCTTTAGTAGTATAATAACCCTTACTAGACAATTTTTGCTTAATAAATAATTTAAATCTTTTGATAGAAAATGTATGCATATTTTCTGGGACTTCGTTGTAAAAGCGTATACATTGTCCCTTGAAGGAATTACTGACCCTTTGGAGTCGAATAACTGGTATAATTAACTTGTGCTTGTTCCTAGTATTTACAGAATGTACATCACTATTTTTAATAAAACTATTTTTATTTTTAATAATGTTCTCGTAAATATATTGGGAGGCCAAAGTTAATATATTTATTTCTTTAAATTTTTCTCTAAAGGATTCCTTCGGACCTAGGTTATAAGTTGGTCGTTCAAAAGCAAATTATTGACGTCAAACCAGTGTACTACTTTTGATATAGCATTATTTACTTCGTCATATTTCAATAATTGCCTTTTTAGTCGGAAAATCAACGAATTATCACCAGCAAATAATACTATATCATGATTATTCCCTATCAAGTAAGTCATTAATATAAACTAAGAACAGAAAGGGACTAAGAACTGAGCCCTGAGGTACACCCATAGATACTTCCGATCCGAAAGAACTGCATCCATTAATAACAACTGTTAGATATGACAGTTTAAGCGCTATTTTTTACACCATAATGATGTAGCTTCCTGATTAATGTCTCATGGTGAACACAGTCGAAAGATTTGGAAAGATCACAAAATATACCCAAAGCATGTTCTGAGTTTTCCCATGCACAGAAAAGCGACCCCTTGTAATTGCAAACTGATTGTTATGTAGTAATTTATTTACATTAAAAAAACTTAACATTTGATCTAGAATATTTTTTTCAAAAATTTTACTGAGCGTTGACAGTACAGAAATAGGTCTAAAACTAGTGGGGTTCAATGTACTGCCAGATTTAAATAAAGGTATAACTTTACTATGTTTCATTAAATCAGGAAACACACCAGATTCGATACTAGCATTGAAAATAATAGCAAGTTGGAGTGCGATAGCATCTATTATAGACGCAATAACTTTAAAAGAAATCCCCCATAGATCTGCTGTTTTCTTAATATCAATAGTTTTGAAATATTTTACAATATCACCTAATAATATTCTATGAAATGAAAATTCCTTTTTACAGACATTTACATTTTGTATGAGTAATGACTCGGCGACAGCAGGAATTGAGTGACTTTGTAGTCAAGATCGGAATGTCGGTAAAATATTATTCAAAAGCCGTTGGAAACTCTTGATCGATTTCGTCAAATTATTGTTAAAATTTAATTGAAAGTTTGAGTTGTGTAGTTTCATCTTGCCAGTTTCACTATTGATTATACTCCAAGTCATTTTAATTTTATTCGAGGCATTTTTAATTTTGTTTCTTAAAAGACTTGGCTGCGCAACACACTCTTTTAACTACTCCTATGGATTCCTACTGTCACCCACTCATTAAACGATTTGTTACTGTTTAAAGAGAGGTAAATGTTTTATAACATTCAAGACTTATTAGTTTAAATAATGATCAATATAAATAGTTAGTATTGTTTTTATATGGAAGAAAAGGCAGTTATTTCACTATATTACTTCTACATTTCTCTAAGCGATGTTCATTTTTTGGAACAACCACAACTTTCTTAACTTTCTATTTTTTGTGCATGTAAGGTAGTAAAAAATAATAATAGAAACGAATTAATTACATGTGTAAATGAGATGCACACCTTGTTCAACTGATCACGTAACGTCACATTAAGAGGACATCCGAGCTGGAAGATATTTGTAGAATAGCATTTTAATGATCTATTACTGTCGCGCGGTGTCTGAACTATAAACATAGAGATAATGGACTGTGCGTTCCGTATTTAGTTGCACAGTGAATATAGACCGAAAAGTGCGAGAGAGACAAAGTGATTGTGCGGCAAGTAGTTGTCTCTTTCGAGAATTCTGATTGGTCCACGTCACTAGCTTGCAAGACGTGAACCTACTAGGCTTGCAGGAAAGAAACAGGTATTGATCCCACAGTCACTTTGTCTCTTTGTACAGAATGGTCACTTTTGTGAGGCTAACGCTCAGTCCACTCTCTATATCTATGGCCTGAAACATTGAGTTAATTAAAAAATTATTATACATAAACTGACGAAATTGTCATACCTAATTTTGCCTTCTCCAAACTGATCCGATTATTTTTCAAAAACTAAATATGGATTGTGATTGTGTGTGCATATTTTTCCTTTATTTTTTGACATAGATTGTATAGTGAAAAAAAAATCTGCTATAGTGTTCATATCTAGGGAGTAAACAAAGGAATATGCTTGTATGAACTAAACATTGTCCGGATAGCCTCTTAAGTGGACTGTCACTGATATTCAAATATAAAAGAAACATAATATTCCGTTAGTTATATGATAAACTATACCATATTCATTGCCATAGCACATATGGCCGCTTACTACATTATCATTACCTATTCACGGAGTGAAGTAAATATTTCTGGCTAAAATATAAGTAATTATTATAATTTCGCCTAAAATGTTAAAAGTGTAGTCTATAGAAGCCATGAATTGTATAATATAAATAGAAGAAACAATGTGACGTTAGGCATCATAGCCAAGTATCCCAAAACATATAACTAGAATAATTAGCTTTTGACTATCATCAACTTAAAACAACTTAAAACTTTAATATAATATTTAACTTATTTTCGTGTCAATGCTTTGTACAATTAATAAGATGGATTTGTACCCAATATATTAAAATTTCAATTCACAAAATTTTACATACCTTGACGAGCTACTCGACTGTCGTCTTCTACTAGTCGAAAGATATGACCCAGTCGTCCTGTTCCGAGGACTCGTCGGGAGCTCCTTCTCTTCATCAGAGTTTTGCACCATTTCTTCCTGTTACATTATTTAGTAATATTAGAGATTTAATAATAATATTTTTTACTGTCTTTAGAAGTAACAATAATTAAACATGAAAATATATATTTTTTTTTTATTTAAAATAAATGTTTATAAGACTAATTTGGATCCAAAAATGTTGGAATTCACGACTTACAACGCACAAAATATATTATCCTACTGCAATGCAATGTTACGATTTAAATGGAGTAACTTATGGAATACTAATGAAATAAAACCAAACCTAAATATTATATTCTTTCAAAATACAATCTCTCACCTGATCACTGAGCCGTTTAGAGGAGTCTTCGTCCATAACAACGGGCGAGGGTATTTTTCTTTTGCGTCTGAAACTCGGCATTTTAGGAATGGTGGCGCGTAGTCCCAGACCAATACCGACACCATAGCCTCCTAATTCAAGCCCTATGTCTCGTGATTCCATTATTGATTTTATAGAATCCACCGTCTCTTCTTTCTTATTCGAAATATCCTGCATAAGAAAATGTAAATCTTTTAGAAATAAATGACAAAAAAGTTATATTGTTTTTGGACATGTTTGTTATATATTGCTTTTAAATCTATCTCTTAATATACTTGTAATTATAATATTTTTCGGATTCGAGTTTCCATGTTAAGCTAATGATGACTAAGTCACTAAAATAACATGTCACAGCCTATAATTACACTGACTGATATCTTACGCATAACAATTGCTATAGTTTCACAATTATAAGAATTAATTATAAAAAGAAAAAACCTTAATAGAGACGGACGCGAGCTCATTAACATAACATAATGATACTTGTAATACCGGGTTTAGACTCTCGCCTCGCGCCTCGCCTCGTACCTCGCCTCGCAGCTCGCGTGTTGTTGCGAGGTAACGAGTGCCTGTTTACACTCTCGCGATGCGGTCAGTTTGCGCTGAGCCAGCAACGATGAAAGATGTCGAAATAAAAGCGGCATCAACACTTGCCTTAATAAGTATTTATCGATGCTTGACCATTTTAGAAAGAAGGAAATTAATAAAAATACGTCGTTGAGGAAGAATATGACGGATGATATCTATTCATCGAAACAGAACCTTTTCAGTTTCATAATTGTATATAAATTGCTAATACATATTGTGCAAGATTAAATAATATTATTTTATTAAAATTGTAATTTTAATACAAAAGCACTTCGAACGTTATTATGGAAGGGCGCCGTAAACAAACTGAAAAGAGACGCGAGTGTAAACAGCACGCTCGCGTCCCTCGCGAGGCCCTTTGCCTCGTGCCCAAAAAACTGCCTCCGACGCGAGCGCCGCGAGTGGCGAGGCGAGCTGCGAGGCGAGCCACGAGCTAGCGTTTACACTCGCGCCTCGTGGCTCGCCTCGCGACTCGCCTCGCCGCTCGCGCGAGAGTGTATAGGGGGGTAACAAATAACATTTAATATAGTATAACATCGTTTATCGCATATATTAACACTTTTAATAAACTCTTTTGATTTTAAATTATTACTGAACATTCATCCAGTACCGAACATATATTGGTCCTTCGAGCTGGATGTGAACCAGTGACCTACGGATTTTTCTCAGACGGGCTCCTATGTCTCGTGATTCCATTATTGAGTTTATAGAATCCACCGTCTCTTCTTTCTTATGGTGGTTATCTAAGTGATAGCATCACTATCACTTAGAAAACCACCTCTAATTAATCACAAGAGAGACAAAGTTAAGAATATTAAAGCAACACTTAAAGCACATTAAAACACGTTAAATTAAACTAAATATATCCTTCACTTTGCCTCTTTAGCGTATAATAATCGTATTGGATATAATATAACGTGAAAGGATTGATACCTGTAACGGTTGACTCGTGTCTTCCGGTTTGGTGGTCTTAGTTTGCCTTGTCTTACGACTCTGCTCATCCCACCACAGCTCGAAGCTCTTGAAGGCCGTGCTCTCAATCATCTTCTTGTTAAAATCTTTCTTCAAGATTTGCTTCAATTCAGCTGTAACTCGCTCTATCACACTGTTGATTGTCGGGTAGTGTGGGTTATCTAATTCCTGTAAGAAAAAAAAATTGCTTTGTATAATTTAATTTCCAAAATAAAACATTTGGTGGAAATCTAAAAAAAACAGTGATGTTTGTGCTATTTACTAGACTTTTAACAGACTTCATTTGAGAAGTGTACAGAGAACATTTAAGTATTAACTTTTATACAGTTATATTAGGTGTGCGTAGATCTAGTAGGCAATAATTTGTATATAATGCATAAGTACCCTAATACATATACAACAACAAGTGTGGACTGCACTACAAGGTAAGTTAAAACTTCAGCACCTGTTGCTGTGGCGCCGGCTGAGGATAGGGCTGGAAGTGATGCGGTAACATGGACGGTGCAGGATATCCGGCACTGTACGCCATCGCCATCTCAGGAGTCGTGTAGGTCGGCGGAGGATATGCTGAAAGTGACATAAGGATATTAGTCTTTTAAAAACTAAATCAATATATCAAACTATGATGCCCGAAGTATCGTTTCAAATATTTAATTGATCTTCTATAAAATATTTGAAAACAGTGATCTTGGTCTTGATCAATTGCTTCATTATTACTCATTACAATAATAAAATAATTCATAACCTCAAGTTCCATTTTACGGAAAGAAAATCAACCACGAATACAAGAAATTTCTGGAGAGAAGTTTCATAAAAATGTATAAAATTATATATCTTGATTGGTAAGGCCTATAATAATTTATTGATATATTTATATTGATTGATGATTGGTGACTACTTGGAGGATAACGGAAATCTTTCGGCGCTAGTGATCGACTAGCACAAAGCATTGAAAACTGTAATACATAATTCCATTCAATTAGTTATTTTATAATATTTTCAAATGTTGTTTGTAAAAAAATCCAATACCGATACAACCTATTAAAGTCCACTGCTGAACATAGACCTCCCCCATAGACAGCTTCTTAGGGGGGATATTTGGAATTGTTGCCACGTTGGCAACCGCAGTTTTTTAATTTTAGGAAGACGTTGCTGCCTCTATTGTCTCTTACGACAACCACGGGATAATCTGGGGTAATGATATTATATCTTAGTTACTAAAAATCTAAGTCAAAAATCAAGACTTTTTATCTGTTTGTCTCTGCGTTTGTGCACGCTAATCTCCACAACAGCTAAACCAATTCAAATAAATTGTTTAATTTTATAAAATTACTTTTAAAGTGCGCGCTAAACATGACTCGTGTCCAAGTCAGAAGAAAAAAATAATAGGACGCAAAATGGATTGCAAGTATGGAAATCATGGGCTCAGCTACTTTAACTTAAAATGGAATCAACTAAGTTTTAAGTCACGGTTCCAATTAAATTCAATGTTTATCAAATAACTTGAATTTTCTACTTTGAGGCGGTGTCGACTCCCAGTCCGCTATTGAACATAGACATAATTTATCTCATACGGGGAATATTTCCCATCGGAGTCACGCTTGGCAGGCGAGTTAGCAACCGCAGTTTTTATTATTTTGACGTTCATATGCATATCAAATAAGCCTAAGCTATATAATTTTGAACTAAAAAACTTTTAGCAAGTAATGTATGTAGTATGTATTTTGTGTTATTAAACCACCTGTGGTTAAAAAGGGAAGATCATTATAGTTAATATGGGCAATGGAGTGTGATCCCCATGTAGATGTGTACCCCGTGTAGATCATAAGTACCTGTGTGCGGCCACATGGGCTGGTAGTAGGCCGGGTGTGGTGGCGGGTGCGCGGTGACGGGAGGGTAAAAGTACGCCTCTGCCGGAACTTGCTCCTCGATCTTAGCCTCCGTTGACGACAGCGATGACAGCGACATCTGTTGGATGCAATATCTGTATATATACAGGGTTATTTTGCAATAACCGGCCAAATTTGCAGAGAAGGTTATGAATAAGTAATATAGGCAAATGGTGAAAAAAAATTAATTTATTAAAATCTCAATAATTCTATTTTTTTTATCTTTCACAGTCAAAATGCTTACTCATTTTACTGCGCACGCAAACATAGGAAGACACTGCTGCCCGTATCCTGACTTGTTTCCCTCAGTCGCCTCTTACGACACCCACGGGATGATTTGGGGTAGTGGTTATTTTCAGACCGTCACTACACGGCCTGCTTACGACCATTTTATTACTATCTCAACAAAAAAAAAAGCCCTGCATCGAACAGTGCGACGACTTAATTAACTTGTCGTAGAAAACCTATACATACCTGATCGTCATCCAGGTTATCTTGGTCCTTATCAGGGGGCGCAGCTGGTGAACGTCGAGGCTCTTCCCCTGTTAACAATTCGTCCTCCGACGATGAAATATCCGATCCAATCTTGTCCAGGCTCGTCACTTTTTTCTGCTGTTCCACTTTTGCTTTCTGCAAATGAAAAACCATCAAAGGAACTTAGTAAATAAATAACACAAGACAATTTTCTTTTGTATGGAGAATGGGCTCACCACAAATTAAGGCGTAACTTAATGAAATACAAGTCGATTTATTCCTTACAATCTATAGATTACAATAGTAATATTAGGTCCTTACATATGAAATTAGGGTTTTGTCGTACTGACCACTTTGATCTGAAATATCTCCTCTTTGGTTAAGAATTCCAAATTCAAATTTATAAATTCATTTAGCTGATACATTTGAGTTTTGAAAACAGTCATTCATTTGTTTTTTCCTCTTTATTTTTTTCTTTGGCGTCGCTTATTACCGCACAATGGAAAACATGAAATATCGGTATATTTACGAGTACGAGTTCTACCGTGGCCCCATGCTGCAGAAACAGCTCGAAGGATTAATGATATGTACGGCGCTGGTGTCGCAAAAGAAAGCACGATACGTTTTTGGTTCCAACGTTTTCGTTCTGGAAATTTCGACTTTCAGAACCAACCCCGTGAACGGCCGGAGACCAAAGTGGAAAATGAAGAATTAAAGGCTATTGTAGAAGCGGATCCATCACAAAGCCCCTCAGAGATAGCCGCAGGCTTCGGGTTAAGTGATAAAACTGTATTAATCCACTTGAAGCAAACCGGGAAAGTAAAAAAACTTGAACGATGGGTACCTCATGAATTGAGTGAATCGAACTTGCAAACACGCGTCGACTGCTGTGTTACTTTGCTAACCGACACAATAATGAAGGGATTTTAAATCGAATCATTACTTGTAATGAAAAGTGGATACTGTACGATAATCGGAAGCGCTCGTCGCAATGGCTGAACCCTGGAGACCCAACCAAATCCTGCCCTAAATTAAAATTGACTCAGAAAAAGTTACTTGTGAGTGTTTGGTGGACTAGCGCCGGTGTCGTTCACTACAGCTTTCTAAAATCTGGCCAAACGATTACGGCAGATATCTATTGTCAGCAAATGCAAACCATGAAGGAAGAACTAGCTGCTAAACAACCGAGATTGGTCAATCGCTCTAGGCCACTGCTGCTTCACGACAACGCAAGACGACACAATGCACAACAAACAACCACTAAGTTAGATGAGCTACAATTGGAATGTCTGCGACATCCACCGTACTCTCTGGACCTTGCTCCAACAGATTACCATTTTTTCCGGAATTCAGACTACCATTTTTTACGGAATTTGGACAACTTCTTACAAAGAAAAAAATTCAACTCCGATGCGGCAGTCCAAACCGCCTTCAAAGAGTTTGTTGATTCTCGCCCCCATGGTTTTTTTAGTAAAGGGATCAATGAACTACATATGAGATAGCAAAAGTGCATAGATAACAACGGTGCATACTCCATTAATTAAATATATTTCATAGGTGCATGTCCATTAATTAAATATATTTTAAAAAAAAAATTTAACTTTATATTCCTTCCGTACAAAACGCCAATTTCATATGTAAGGACCTAATATTAGTTTTACCGTATCTAACGGGAATACTGAGATTTTAACAATTAAAATATGAATATCACAATAACCTAAAACTAAACTAAAAGCTATTGTCTAGTAGTTTTCGCCTTATACTATATATACTAATACTTATACAGTGTACTATTTTAACTTATATATATTATAAGTTAAAATAGTACACTGGTCAATAATTAATAGTATAAAACAAAGTTGTAGGTACATTCAGCTTTTATAGGTACTTTACGATTGATGGAAAATCCTTTAAGTAGTTCTTTATTCGTTACACGCATTATTTTTATATAACATTAACCAGAATACGAATTTCAAAACGACTCTTTCTTTTTCTTATTTCATGATTCCGGTTAGAATTTTGTAAAATCTTTAGGCCGTCTACTATAATAAATTAGTATATTTTTTATGTGTGATAAAATTAAGTTAATGTTCATAAACGATGGTCTCCTTTGTTTTAAGTGAATAATAAATAAAAAGTTTATTGTTTCCAACATTTTCTTAGATTAGTACACGTTTAAGGATTTCTTTTAAGTATAAATATACATATGGTAGAAGGTCCTCGCCCTTTTTTAACAGATTATATTCAACGAAACAGAAACAGAGTGTGTGCGTATATGTGTGTGTGGGCGCGCATACGAACCCACGCAGTATGTGTGTTTTGGTACTATAATTTTATGGTATAATTTTGGATCCTAAGCAATGTTAAAAAAACAGATTGCCTTTAAAAAAATAGGTGCCTGACAGAAAATGAAATAAAGGGACCTATGTGCACATGTGCAATACCAGCACATACATCATTCCGCGTTGTCACACAGATATTCATCCTTATAACCTGTGTCCAAGTAAAATTACGCGATGAGTTCGCATGTAGTGTCATAAACAGCAACCAGACCTTAAAACCAATGTATCCTGTATTTTACATATGTTAATGTCGAATGGATTGTTGCCAACCCACTTGCCAAGCGTGGCAACTATTGCAAATATTCCTCCTATGAGGCAATCTATGGGAGCGGCCTATGTTCAGCAATGGACTTAAATAGGCTGTAACGGTAAAGGTCGACTGGATTTCATAATAGCATAATGGAGGCATAATAGCCAGGTAATCTGTAAGATTAAGATCAATAAGATTCAAACCAAATGACCATAATTCAACATTTTCCATAAATAAGCAATAAATAACCTATACATGTCTTACCCTTTCAACAGTGACCTTTAAACAGTCAAGGTAGAACTCTCGACTTAAGAATGGTGACGGTGTGTTTGAAAGCGGTTCAGGGTTCATTTCCTTCTTCATGCTTATTGAAATTATGCTTCCACGGTCTTCACTGCCGGATCCTGTTTTAAATAAGATGAACATGTTATTAAAAAAAAATGAAGTACTTACAGATGTACAAGTGAAGGAAAATTCCCGTACCACACAGTGAATCTAGTAGAGGCAGTTTAGGAAAAGGCCCAAAACATTTTTTTAAAGACTTCCTACAGAATAAGTGGTATAACTATATCGAATTTTATCCCAAATGAAATATTTTCAAACCAACAACGGGGAGTTGCGTCGAAGGTGCGAGGCGTCTGGAACTGCGATTGTTAAACCATTTACAGATACAAAGAGGTTCTCGATCAGCAGTAGACTGATTATTGGACAGATAATGGCGAGGAGGAGGAGAAGAATAAAGTTAAATATGACGTAAGCAGAATAATTATGTAACAATGTCCTCGAGACCGAAATTCGATTTCTAATTTCGATTTCGAGACTCGCCGTCTACGCAGGACAAGCTTATAGTGCCTCTATTCCCTAACTCTCATAGTCCGATGGGACGATAATTCGATACGACCGGAGAGATATCAGGTGCGGGACCAACGGATTTACGTACTTTCAGAGGCACGGGGGTGAAACACCGCCAACTTCCTAACTTCAGGCCGCTACTGAAAATATCGTGAAAGGAAAATCCAATAACTGATCATGGCCCGACTCGAACTCGGGACCTCATGAACAGCAATCGCGTTTACGACCGACTACTAGACCAACGAGACTGTCAGTAAGCAGAAAAATAGTCGTACAATCATTAATATATATGTACTAGCACTAGATTTCGCATTCCGAACATTGACTATGTTCAACTGAACTGTACTGCAATTCATACACTAAACTGAATATTGCATAAATTGAAGATTTGTGAATTCCATAAGATAATTATTATTACATTTTATTTAGAAATATGTTTGTTTAGATTAAAATAAGAGTATTTTATATTAAATTAAAGTCTTCGCGCATATGCGACTCTACTATCTCCCGCGTATGCGCGAAGACTTTTTTGTTTGGAATAGCTTCTCTTACGTAGTACATATAACTCAATGGGTACAATGTTTTATGGGTACAATGTTTTATGGGTACAATGTTGGATGTTGTGGCCCATAGACAACTATATCTAAAATCTGTATGTACTACGAAAGCAAGAGGATTCGCGTACCACTCGAAATTACTAATTAAAAAACAAACTCGTTGCATAGCATAATTTTTGTTCAAAACGCTGTAAAAGCATAATAACTTTATTTTAATTAAATTAAAATAAAAAAGTTAACCCTTTTTTTTACTAGGTTTTCCATTTTCTACACTACTTAACCACACATAAGGTTACTTTTTCGAAATATTGCGAGTTTTTGTAAGTTTACAGATCGAAACCAATCATAATACACAAGAATATCTGTCACAGAGCGCGCGGTTAACTAAATAGTGCATTGATTGTAGTTTTTAGCCCCGCCCGACGATCGTTTGCGTGGTGCTGTTTTTTGGGCGGAATACATCTTCCAGTTTTTAGAATTCGTTGATTGCAAAAAATTTTGGGATGGAGAGGTCTATTTCTAAAGAACGCCTTTTTTAAAGGACGAACGAAGAAAAAGATAATCTTGGAATTAATAGGCGGTTAAATTTCCCTACATAAAGTATATGCAAATATAACAGCTTGTGTGCGTGTACACGTGCGCTAGTGTGTTTGTACGCATGTGTGCACGTGTCTGTGTGTGTGAATATACGTGCACTAGTGTGCACCTGTGCGTGTGTGCATACGTACGCACGTGTATATATATGTGTGCGTGTGTGTGTGTGTGTGTGTGTGTGTGTGTGTGTAGGTGTGCAAGCTTGCGTGTGTAGGTGCGTGTGTAGGTGCGTGTGTAGGTGTGTAGGTGCGTGTGTGCGTGCGCCGTACCTTCGTCGTCGGAGGGCGGGTGGTGCGCGTCGAGGTCGGGCATGTTGGTAGTTAGGCGCTCGTCGTCCTCCTCCTCGAACGAGGTGCGCAGCGCCTAGAACGTGTGCGTGTCTAGGTGTGCACGTGTGTGTGTGTGTGTGTGTGTGTTTGTGCACGTGTGTGTGTGTGTGTGTGTGTCTGTGTAGGTGTGCAAGCTTGCGTGTGTAGGTGCGTGTAGGTGTGTAGGTGCGTGTGTGCGTGCGCCGTACCTTCGTCGTCAGAGGGCGGGTGGTGCGCGTCGAGGTCGGGCATGTTGGTGGGCAGGCGCTCGTCGTCCTCCTCCTCGGAGGAGATGCCCAGCGCCAGGAACGGCGGCGCCAGCCCGCCGCCACCACTCGCGCCCTTCAGCAGCATTGCGATCCTGTACATTAACCAATCGCCATTTATTGTAGCCATCTACAACTTTTTCTGCCACCGTGGCGGAAATAGTTTTGAGTGGATATTTATTATATTTAATAGAGGGAAAGTTAATTTGTTTAGCAAATATAAAGTTTAATGTTACATTCGTAAATATTAGTTATAATGTATATTAATTGTTAATTAGATAAAAAAGGATTTTATCAGTTTCTAGAGTATTTACTGAGGCATTGTTTTGTGCATATTATACTAATGCACAAAATAATGCATCAGTGGTTTGCTCTTTAATTTTTACACTTATTTAACATTTTTTTTAAATTTTCAACTTTTATGAATATGTGGTTTGGTTTACTTATTTTTAATGTAATCAATATAAAATATAACTAATAGTACAAAAAGAAACATTAACCTTTACATTTTTCAAACAAATTAACTTCCCCGCTATGAAATCTGTCAAATATTACACCTCATATTAAATGGCGCCGCCCTGGTGGAAAAAAAAAGTCGTGGCTGCCCTCATTATTTTCACCTCAGTCCCTACTAGTGACATCTGGTAAGCGGTAAACTATTAGCCCTCATTGGAGAAAGAATTCATCACCAACCGCTATAGATAGTACACCACTGTGGGGACGGCGTAAGAGAATTCGTCATCCCATTTAGTTTCGCGGGTGCCGTAAAAGGCGACTATGGTAAATACCAGTAAAACCTTATTTTAGTAGTACTTGTACTCGTACATACTAAATAGATGTATTACTATTAAACAACGAACACTAAAACTATTGTAAATGCTTTATAGAATAAGGGTGACAAATGAGCACACAGTCCACCTGAAGGTAAGTGGTTGCTGTGGCCCATACACATCTACATCTTCGTTTGTGAATTAAAATGCAGATGCGTTGTCAGCCGCGAGGACTAAGATAGAATGCTTCTTTTCCAGTAAAATGGGTCTTCAGTTCTCTACACTCACCATACGAAACACGGCAGCATTAAGCTGTTAATTTACTCTGGTATTCTGTGAGAGCGTGGTCCTACCCCGGTCGAGCCGACCCATTCATGCTACAACTATACTATTAAATTAACTTTACCACATGCAAACACAACTATCTCTGCCATCTACTTTTGGTAAGATGTTGTTGGTCAGTTACCATCAGGTGGTCTGTAATTTTACTACATTTTGATTTATCCAAAGGGACGAGATTTGTTTGCCCCTGTAATGTTAAAAAACAGTGAATGTATGACCTGGTGTCAAGGTCGACGTTCTTGGGCTCTTCTACGGGCGGCGGCGGCTTGGGGTCGGGCGAATACTCGGGCCCCACGCCAGGCGGCGGCGGCTCCGAGTTCTCCGTCTCCGCACACGTACTCTCAGCACGCACCTCCTAGATGCCAAAACATACGTTCTACCCTCCTCACTCAGATTTACGTGCTAACACATGCAAAATACACTACAAATAATTTGCCCTCAGCACAGGTATTATATAGTAGATACTAAAAATTCACGATAAGCTCTAAAGCATCCTCAACTTCTTGATCCCCACTCACGCACGCAATTTTCTTCTTTCTTTTTCTATCAACCTGCAAAAGTTCACTGCTGGACGCATCTAAGACCACGTGGTTAGTTGAAAATGATTTTAGTTGCATAATATGTGTGAGTGGGTGACCTTGAGCTTCCTCATACGACCAGCAGTGAAGAACCACGTCTCAGTTCCATAAGTTATCACTAGCAACACGCACTGGTTGTAAAGTCTCTTTTTTAAGTTTTGAGGTATACTTGACGAAAAGATCTGAATCCGTCGATTGACCTCTCTAATCGGACTATTTGTCCCAGGTAAACATACTCGTCAACAACCTCGAGCTTAGTGCTCCCAACAACTACCGGCATAGGTGTGACATGGACGTTATACACGATCTTTGTTTTGTCCACGTTCATCTTAAGACCTATCCGTTGGGAGGCACTATTGAGGTCATTGAGCATAGTGCTTAGGTCCTCCAGCGATTCTGCCATAAGGACTATATCGTCGGCAAATCGAAAGTGAGAGATGTACTCGCCATTGATGTTAATACCGTATCCTTTCCAGTCCAGTATCTTGAAAACGTCTTCCAAAGCAGCGGTGAAGTTTCGGGGATATAACGTCACCCTGTCTTAACCCTCTCTGCAGTTGGATAGGTTTCGTACTCTGGTTCCGTTCTCGGAAAGCCATCGTAGCTCTATTGTACAAACACTTCAGCACTTCGATATACCGACAGTCAACTTGGGACCGCTGAAGGGACTGGGACAGCACCGCCCAAATTTCAACGGAATCAAAGGCTTTTTCATAGTCCACCTACACAGGACATAGTGGTCAATTGTACTCCTCGGTCTTCTGTACAATTTTCCGAAGAGTATAGTTCTTTAAGAGAGTATTGTCACCTTTCTTGAAGAACAAGACGACCGCACTTCTGCACCACACCTCCGAAGTAGTGCCACCATGGAAGGACGGAATCAAAGAGCTTCTGAAGGACTTGAAGTACCGGTTTCCCAACCGCTTTTAGAAGCTGCGCTGTAGTTGCATCTTTGCTCGGGGACTCGCCGTTTTTAAGGTGCTGGTGGACCATTCTAATCTTATGTCCGGGATATCATCGGAATAGTGTCGGATAAGACTTGCTCTTGGATCGTTACTCACACTTGCGTGTGGCTCCAACCATGATGCCCAAAGAACCTCTCAATCTTACTCAAATGAGGTGTCCCAGAAACGATGCTGCCACATTCGGTCTTCAGCTTTGACCGTTGGCTCTTTCTGACAGACAGATCTCTAGCAGACTTTGGAGCCCTGGTTCAGTTGCCTGTATGCTCTCAAATCTACTGAAAACTGCAGCTTCATTGCCCGTCTAACAGCCATGAGATTAAGAGTGTGATTTGAGAGTTTTTGTGTTCTTCGGTGGGTCTTGCAAAACTTAGCTCCGACCGCATGGACAGTTTCCACGAGCTTGTTATTCATATCTTCCACTGCATTGCTATTTTCTAGGCACTGAAAACGGTTTTGTAATTCGAGCTGAAAAGTTTCGAGACTTTGGATTTGAGCACGAGGGGGACGGAGCGTTGACATCATTAGACGATATCTCTCCAACTTAACATTTAGGTTCAGTGTGACTCTAACCATTCGGTGATCGCGACCAGTTTCCAACCTCGCGATCAATGAAACATCACTGAACAGTTGCCGTCTGGTCGTCATAATGAAGTCAATCTCATTTTTTGTCGAACCGTTGGAGCTCGACCAGGTCTATTTCCTGGGACATATGAAAGTGTATACGGTACTTATAACAAAAACACAATGTTTTATTAATTATTGTCCATCTGTTTGTTCCCACTAGTCTCAAAAATGGCTGGACCGATTTTGACGAGACTTTCACTGGCAGACAGATAATGTTATAGGGAGTAACTTTGGCTACTTTTATTTTAGAAAAAGAATTAGAGTTCCGCGCAAAAAAGTTAAAACCCTAAATTACACAAAGCTGCGGGGAGCAGCTAGTATTATAGATACTAATATTTAATAACGAGATTGCATTTCAGAGTTCTTTGGCCAATACTCATAGTTGAAAAGTGTTGAACAATTAGAGATGATATTTTGTCGATAAGTTCGACATTAAACATAGATTTTTCGATAATTATTGGTCTTAATAATATGACCTTGTATCGCACAGACAGTTTCCAGTTCCCTCGGTTTCCCAATGATGACATCCTGAGAGACATATACACAACATCACACACACTATATACTAATTAGAGCGACAATTACAATAGATTTTGTTCAGTTTAGTTATATGATATCTAAGCATTAATTACTTAATATGCGTTCACATTTATTATTATACAAATGGGCAGTTACCGTCATGATTAAGAAATTAATACTTACATCATATAATTTCAATTTGTTACTTTTAGCACATGCGGTAGCTCTAAAAGGCTAAAGTAGGATGGAATACTTCTTTACCAGTAAAACGAGTCGCATTCTCAACATTCACCATACGAAACATAGCAGCATTATGTTGCTATTTCACACTAGTAATATGTGATAATATATGAAAGATTTGTTTTGTTGTACATTTGTAATTAAACATAACATGCAGTTAATTACAGATAATCATGCAGCGTGTTATGACAAGTTAATGATTGTTGAAAGGTCAAATATATTTTATATAACCGACATTGCAATAATCTATTTTAATGCACTGAATTCCAATAATGTATTATAAGTACCAATTTAAGTGATTCAGAAATGTATGTAAACAATCATACTATACATTATCTTCTAATAAAGAAGCGAAGTAATAGTTTATAATTATTTAATAATTTGTGAATGTATATTCCGTTTGCAATAAAAAATGATTCGTCAATGTTATGTCATTAATGCAACTGTAGAGTAAAGGAAATCATTATTTTATTTTAAAAAGAATGTTTCACTCTATCATTAATAATTAAATTTGTTATAAATCATTACAAATAATAATTAGTTTAATTTTTTCTCTGTAACGACCGTTCTTTCGTACACACCAGACGCAAATGCTGTCTGCGGTACTATGCTTTAAATTTTAAACACTTTCATGTCTATTTGAAAATGTTACACAAATTATATTTCGGTTTAATATATTTTACACCTAAATTAAAAAGAAACTGTAAGATTATTTCGGAGAATATTAAGATTAGTCAAAGTGCATTAAAATTGAAATTAGACATAGAGCGTAAACTGTTAACACATTTAGTACAATAGGTGTATTCATAGACATAGAGAGAATGGACTGTGCGTTCTATATTCAGTTGTGCAGTGAATACAGACCGAAAAGTGTGAGAGAGACAAAGCGAATATGCGGCCAGTAGTAGTCTCTTTCTAGAATTCCGATTGGTCCACACCACGACCACGTCCTGCACACAGCATGCAGGGCGTCGACTAATCAGGCTTGCAGGAAAGAGACAGGTATTGTCCGGACAGTCGCATTGTCTCTTTGTAGAGAATGGTGACTTTTGTGAGGCTAACGCTCAGTCCATTCTGTGTGTATGGGTGTATTGAATGAGAGTGGCGACCTTGTCCCTGGTCCTGCGGTCGCGCGGCTCGGGCGAGCGGTCGCGCAGCTGGGGCGTGGCGGGCGCGGCGCCGGGCGCGGGCGCGGGCAGCCACGCCGGCCCCGCGCGCCGCTCCGCCTTCAGGCACACCACACCACACCGTTCATTCACACACAAACCTACCATACACACGCCACGCAAAAACTGTGGCCTCGCGAGTGTGCACAGTGGAATACAATAATTATTGTGACCTAAGTTGCTCTTTATAAAAATTTGTAAATCTATACAACAGTCGATAAGATTCTCATACTGACATATGTTTACATGATCAAAAACAGTAAGAGCAGTAACATCAAAATCTTATTTTAATATTTAAATATATTTTGTACTCAGCTGAAGAATATTTAAAAAGAAATTGTTGAATGTCCACTCACCTCGTCCACAGTTTTTACCAACATGTGTAAATAATTTCATGTGATTTGAAAGACAGATGATCATAAGTAAGAGATGAAACAAATAATTAAAAATAAAAACAAACAAAAACAAAACATTTATTAAAATGAAAAAACAACACAAGAGCACACTTGTTTTTTTTTTTAAAGAAAACAGAGCTTTCGTAGAAAACACTGTTTTTGTATGTTTTAAAAAAAAACTTCACGAAAGACTAAAAAACACTTAAGATATACGCACACTTAGCACAGCGCAAGAACCGCTTCAGTTTTTATTTATTATATTTACACGAACAATACACATTTAAATAAAACTAATTTTTACTAAAAGGGTGCTGTAAAATGCTCGAAACGTCGCGAATATAAAATAAGTTAAAATAAGCGATAAATCTGTTAAAACTAGTTTTATTTAAACGCATTACTTTTGCTAACGGTCTCGCACACGTATCCGCATAGTACGCGCCGCACAAACCGCATCCAAGTATTTCGTACAGTAATACTGGAATCAACGTATGTTATGGTGATGCTATTTATAGAATAAATAAGTGACCAACAAATGTACAGTCCAGACGGTAAGTAGATGTGTCTAGTGTGTGTGTCCTGTTGACATTTCTACATCTATTCTCGTTTAAAAATCAAATTGCAGATAAATGCGTTTTCAACCCTGAGGACTAATAGGGAATTGCCTCGTTTCCAGTAAACATGCTTTTTATTTATAAGATAAGGGTGACAAACGAGCACACAGTCCACCTGATGGTAAGTAGTTGCTGTGGCCCATAAACATATACATCCATCCCCAACTACGAACCAAAATGCAGATGCGTTGTCACCCGTGAGGACCCTCGTGTCCAGTGAAAGGGGTCTCCAGTTGTCTCTACACTCACCATACGAAACACAGCAGCGTTAAGCTGCATTTTCACGCTGCTATTCTGTGACAGCGTGGTCGTTCCCCGGTCGAGCCGACCCATTCGTGCTACATCCATAATACAGTGTGGTTCTATCACATGAATTACCATTCATGTAAGAATTAAGTAAATCCGCCTACATAAAGCATTTTACTGATGTTGACTTTTTAAACTTTTACTTTTTTTTTTTTAGAAATAGAAAATGTATTTATTTAACCAAAAAACATTGCATAATTAAACAATACACTGGTTTCTGCACTAAGCTCTAGGCTTGTATCGCAGGAACCAAGAACATTGACTGACACCGTTTACACCGATAAATACAAAGGACTCCCATTAAATTAAAACGAAGCAAAAAATAAATTTTTTATAAATTAATACATAAAAAATAGCTTTAAATTTACTCTAGGAGTGCTTGCGTGCTTGCGTGCGCGCGTGTGTGTGTGTGTGTGTGTGTGTGTGTGTGTGTGTGTGTGTGTGTGTGTGTGTGTGTGTGTGTGTGTGTGTGTGTGTGTGTGGGCTTTTGTCAGATTGCTTTAGTGGTTTCTGTTGCTGTGTCGATAATTGTAATAGTGTTCTTCGAAATTTCGTGTTTTAATCAGGTGTGGATCGTGGCAGCTCGAATACGTGTGCGACGTGACATACAATTACATACAAACTATTACTAAGTGCGGCGCGTGCGGCTGCTGTGGTGTGTTGAGGTGCACATTAACCTTAAAAATGAGATGATAACAAACAAGACAGTTATTTCAAACAAAAACATGTATACATTTTTATATAATGATGACGGTATGGCCAACGAGTAAAAACCACTAGGAATTTTAGATTCGATTCGAGGATATGCCACAATCATTTACTAAAGCTAAGTGGCAGAATTTGTACACTATAAGTCACTTACAATAAAGGGAGGACTATGCAAAGCAGTTTCGTTTATAACCTCTTAGTTAACCATTTTTATAATATTTTAATAATAATTTATTTAAAGCTAATAATATCTAATAGTGCTTTTGAGAAAATAGATATAGTAAAAAACTGAGAGTAAAATAGCCGAGAAATGAGGAAAATTAATACAATCGCCAGTTATTACTTTGTCTGTACATTATATTTAACATTTTATTACTTAACAAGGATTTTGTCATTTACCTGAGAAGTAACCACTAGCTCTAACTCGTTTTATCTTCCTATACTTGGTTATTTTATTTTTATTATATTATACCTTTATTTATAACATGAATTATTTATATTTTATTAATAACACTTACATGTGGATGATGATGAGTTGCGTGGTGGGGATGTCGCCAGTTCCACCACATACCGCTTGCACTTGGGGCTGGACTCGCTCCATATCCGTAACCATAACTGACAATAAATTAAACAACATCAAGAAGAGTTAAAAAGTATTAAATTACATAAAATAAAATCATATACATAGTAAATTAAATTAAAACCTTAAATTTGAAGTGGCACAACAATCAATACAGTTTTACGTGATAGAGCCATGCTGCAGCTATATTAGTAGTATAGTTATAGCACGAATGGGTAGGCTCCACCGGGGAAAGACAGAATCACAGAATACCAGCATAAAGTAGCAGCTTAACGTTGCTGTGTTTCGTATAATGAGTGTAGAGAACTGGAGACCCTTTTTACTGGAAACTTGGCACTCCATCTTAGTCCTCACGGAGAAAACACATCTGCATTTTGATTCGTAATCGCGGATAGATGTAGATATCTATGGGCCACAGCAACCACTTAACATCAGGTGGACTGTGTGCTTGTTTATCACACTTATCCCATAAAAAAAAATTATTAATATAAGTGTTAGATTGTTTGGAAAGCGAGAATTTTTACTTTCATTTTAATCTTGAAATACTCCCGTGTCCTATTGCAAAGTTAGATTCATTCCATTTGCTGAATAAAGGCCTCCCTCAATGATTGCCTCATGGATTTTGCCATAATTGACACAATTGGCAGCGGGTTCTTAACCACATATCCTGTTTCAGTTTCCCTCCGTCATCTCCCATGGGACTATATGGGATAGTGGATATCCTTACACCACCTACACGGTTAAGTAAAGCTAAATTCACCCGAATCTATTATCAATTACCTTTGTTGGTAATAAGGGTCATAGGGCAAAGGACCAGTAGGCGTATAAGGTACTTCTGTTGGATGAGCAGGCGGAAGGGTAGATGTTTGGGGGGCGATATGGCTGGCGGCATGACTGGTGGCATGGTTGGTGGCATGGCTGGCAGTGTGGCCGGCAGCATGGCTGGGCGTGTGGCTGGCGGCGATGGTGGTGGCGTGGCTGACCACGTGGCTAGCGGCGAGGCTGGGCGTGTGGCTGGACGCGTGGCTGGAGGCGTGGCTGGAAGCATGACTGGAGGCATGGCTGGTAGCATGGCTTGGAGCCACATAAGCTGGTTCACTTGTATCGCTTGTTCCCCGCGCGTATCGTTCCCTGTACCTAATCATATTTAAAATTAATTAAATCATGCAGACTTAGAACTTTACACAGCAAATTACATAACAAATTAAGAAATTAAATCGTTTTGTTAGTTTGTTTAAAAGTTTTTTCTTAATGTTAAAAATGTGTTCATAATATTGTTAATATGCTTGATTTAATTTTAATATAAGTTTTTTAAATAAAAATATTATTTTTTCAAATCTGTGATTCGCTAATTGATAATAATACTCTTATGAAGCTTGTAAATCTTTGTTACCTATGTTTTCTTCTACATTTCCTTTTGCATCGTCGGCTTGTGGGATTAAATTAAACATTAAATACATATTTATGATTATATATAAAAATATACATGTATCATACTTGAGATGGCTTTGTTATAGAATAACACAAACGAGCACAAAGTCAGATACTGTGACTCATAGACATCTACAGCTATCCTTGATTAAGAATCAAAATTCAGATGCATTGTCATCCCAGAGTGCTAAGATCGAATGCCACATTTCCAGTAAAAAGGGTCTACAAAACACAGCAGCATTAAGCTGCTATTATACGCCTGTATTCTGTGAGCGTGATCCTTCCCTGGTCGAGCAGAAAGCGGACCCATTCCTGCTACAACTATGCCCAGCGAACACACAGCCCATAGATATCTATGCAGTAATGCCTTGCATCCATTAAAAGGGTCTCCAGTTCTCTACACCCACCATACGAAATAGCAGAATTGAGCTGCTATTTTACACTGGCATTCTATGTGAGTGTAGTGCTACCCTGGTTGAGCCAACCCATTCGTGCTACAATTATAATATAGCTGCAGCAAGGCTTTACCACATATAAGCTAAGCTGCAGCATGACTCTTTTTTATCTATTCTAAACCAGTGGTCGGCTACTGTCCCACCTGATTGAAAGTGGTGATGCAGCCGAAAATGGTAAAACACTGACTTAACAAAAGCCTATTTACTGTTGCATTGAAGACACCCACATTGTTATCAGATGGAAAGACATGCTGGCAACTCATTCTCCACTCCTATGCTGTATGCATGATAAACAATAAAGCAAAACTCTACCACATTAAAATAATTACTTAATACTATTTTAATTTGTACAGATAATGAGTCGTTATTTAGTTTTTATCTTTATTTACAAATAATAGCAAAAATATATAATTTAGACCTTAATTCCCTACATGTGAAATATCTTATTTATTGAGCTTATGGAAGTGGGTTCTCACGAAATTATACGTATTTTCTATAACATTTGCCTTGAGTAATAATGTCTACTCACAGAAGAAACTGAAGCATTTTGTAACTAACCATTTCTAAAATGCATCAAAATCTTTCTACAGTGTTTTTATCAATCTACCACATACACTGCTATTTTCCTTTTGCAATACTTTAAATAACTTAGATTTCGCTTAATATCAATACCATTCTTACCGTTCTCTATCCCTATCTCTGTCGCGGTCCCTATCACTATCCCTGTCCCTCTCACTTCGACTGCGATGGCGATGCCTGTACTCGCGCTCCTCATCTGACCAACGATTATTACTGTCACTATGATCCTCCTTGTAGCGCGAATATCCCTCCTGGAAATTAATATAAACAACTTAAATCCAAATTACAATTACCAGATGCAATATTTTATATTTGTATTTTAATATTGTGACAAACATTACGAATTTCAATAACAGGGTAAAAAAAAACTATCAACCTACATCTCCTTGCAGATGAAGCGTAAGTGGCCACTATGAACAAGTAGTAAGTTTAAATTTTTGTACAAACGACTTCAATATTTTTACGAACTTGAGCTGTAGAAACATCTAGTATGTTCGAGTACATATCGGTCTCGAAATTTCTTGACTCTCCTAGTTCTGCTTCTCTATACTAGGGGGCGCTAGTGGTAACTAGTGTTGCCATGTACAAGACATTAATAGTGGCACGCAAAATATGTTGTATGATTTTTTTAAAACCCCTCGACCGATTTCAATAAAATTTAAATGGGATCTGGGAAGTAAGAACTTTTGAAACAAAAAAAGTATTTTCCAAATCGGTTCAGCTATCTTTTAGTAATCGGTGAACATACGTAAAACAAAATATTTGCTGGCAAATACTTCCTACTAAAGGAAAGGCTAATGTCCCTTAACAAAGTGGGATGGCTTGTAAAAAAAGAAGAAACAAAAAATATGGTTATGATAAAGGCATTTTAAGAACACAAATTTATTGCTAAGTAGAGAGTAAAGCACTACCTAAATACGCTTCACGTGCAAAAGAAAAGCATATACGTAAATAAACTTACCTTGTCTGTCAATTTTGTGTCCTCTAGTCTCTTGCTGAGCATTTCAGTTTTGGACGAACGAGAATCTTCTACTACAGAGGACTTTGTAATAGTTGACGCTGGCTGTGTTTTTCGTTCCATAGTCTTCTCTTCAAACATCTCTTGACATTTTTTGCCAAATGGATCATAAAAGACTTCCAGCACCTAAATGAACAATAATAAATCACTTTACATGAAATTTAGAGTGTATTATCTTTTTAAATTAATTTTAAAATGCATCATGGTAAATTCAAGCGAGGCATTATGCTTAGTGTGGGGCCACCGGCAATCAAATAAACAACTATTAAGTCTGAAAATGACGAATCAAGACTACTACAAAAATTATGTTTACTCTGCATTTGGAAATAAATAAATTTTGTATTAGTATTATTTTGTATTTGTAATTTGTTATAATTGCATGTATCCACATTAAAATCATGCTGCAGCTATATTATGGTTGTAGCACGAATGGGTCGGCTCGGTACCGGGGAAGGACCACGCTCTCACAGAAAACCAGCGTAAAATAGCAGCTTAACGCTGCTGTGTTTCGTATGGTGAGTGTAGAGAACCGGAGACCCTTTTTACTGGCAAAGAGGTATTCCATCTTAGTCCTCACGGGTGACAACGCATCTGCATCTTGAGTCTTTATTGACGATAGATGTAGATGTCTATGGGTCACAGTAACCACTTACCATCAGGTGGACTGTGTGCTCGTTTGTCACCCGATCCTATAAAAAAAAAGGAAAAAAAAGATAGTTTTTTGATCTTAATATCTTGAAGGATATTGAATTGACAGAAAATTTTAATGTCACTTAAAAAAAGACATAATTGTTGTCATCTTTGTAGCAAATACACCAGCAGCACAACTAGCATGGGCTGGGGACAAAAACTTTATCCCCCGATTATATCCATTGACAAGAGATAAAATTATCTTGTCCTTATGCCAAAGCACGGTAACGGGGTGAATTATATCCCTGTTTTGACAATAACAAGTCGACATATATCCCCCGTCCGTAGCATGGAGCCAAATAAAAGATTAAAAATTATACTTTTTTGACGTTTGAAAGGGACAATTTTATCCTAGTTCATTGGACGTGGGTTTAAGTTTATATTCATACAAAAAATCTATCTAAGTCTAAGTCTATCTCTCATTTTATCTAGTGGATATTATATCCACCGGTGTGCCCATGCTCGAAGGGAGGATAAAACTAAGCAAAGGGATAAACATTTTCTCCTTTCCCCAGGGATAAAATTGTCTCCTGCCCGTGCTAGCCCTGCTGGTAGACTATTTCGATAGGACTACCCATACTTAAGGGGGTTGGTAACTGGTAACTTCGAAGAGCCAATACACCTCGCACTGATAAAGCTTGCAACCATTTCTTATTTGTGGAGCTTCCGTTTGGTATTTTTGAATAGCTTTTCCTCTATCAGTCCAAAAGAAGAAAATAAGTGAATAATGATAGCAAAGGGAATAAATAAAGTATTGCCTGTAGTACATTTTTATAATCAACTTTAATTTAGTGACATAGAATTTACTTTCTGATAGTTAATATTTATTCAACACACTTGACAAATAGGTATTTAGTTGAATTCGGGAGCATAGACACTGCACCGCCACTGTAAATTATCTATGAAACAGGACCATGCCCATAAGTCATAACAAAATACGCATAGCCAGCCAAAATAGTTTCTGAAAAAAATTATGATACATAGCCCACTACACTATGGATTGTAGCATGAAAGATTGCACAGAATTATTTATGTTATTCTGTTTACCCCCCTAAATTAGCCACCTTCAGGTAAAATAAGTTAAATATTATGTTCTTTGTTATTAGTACAATAAGGTAGTATACGCCTGAGGGTGGATAAACAGAATATCCTAATTATTTTATTGGTAATTCTAAAACTAACACCCACTTATTTGTTTCATCACACATAATGACAGCAATAGTGTAATAATTTACCACTCTCATCTTTCTTATTCAAATGTAAGGCAAGAGAGAAAAGGAAAGATACGAAAAACAAGTGATCATATTATTATTATAGTCTTAAGAGAATACAAATTGTATATTGACTGCCTCATTGGTCTAGTAGATGCAAACGCGAATGTTGAACATGAGGCTACGGATTCGAACCTGGGTCGGGCCAAAATCAGTTATTGCGTTTTTCTGTTAAGAATTTCTTAGTAGCAGGCAGAAGTCAGGATTTTGGTGGTGTTTCACTCCCCCACCTCGGAAAGAACAAAAAGCAGTTGGTCCTGCACCTGATCTCTCTTCGGTCATTTTGGATTACCGGCCCATCGAACAATGAGAGTGAGGAAATAAAGAGTGCACATGTACTTGCACAAACACTCGGACAACAAGATTATAGTGCCCACAGATGGCTGCGCAGGATACAATCTCTGTTGAGATGAGCCGCTGTGACCAAAATTCTGTCTGGGACACATTAACAATATAATTGAAAATGAAAAGTCAAGGATTTGATATGTGTAATAGTGTAATTGCTAATGCCATTTTTCAATTTGTTAAAGGATTTATCAAGCAATAGATACGTTGAATGAACAAGTATTACTTAAGTAGCTTAGCGAGCATTGAAGAGGGCTACATTCAAGAGTTTCTCTTTTTTTTTTTGTTATCTTCTTACAGGGGGTGGATGCCCTTAATACCAGCCTTTAGTACAAATTCAACTTTGAAAATTTGTGGAATTTTAATAATAGCACAATATTTTTAAACACTTGTTTTACTTGATAGGTTATGTATCCAAAAATGTAATGAACCTTAAATTAGAATCATATTATTTCAATAGCAATTGGGCCAAACTCCAGTCACCCTTTAAGTTTTTGGTATGTACCTATTGTAGATAAATTTTAGACACTGTAATAAATTCGTAACAAGTTCTAATCTTAAATCATGCATACCATGAAATATGAATTAAAACAGATAAGAATAATAATTTAATTTTAATTTATTACTGCATACTTAACATGTTTTTGTTTTTAGAAGTTCTATTTTCTTTCAACTGTGATAAAAAATGTTGCACATTGATTTATTATAAATTATTCATTATTGTTTTGCTTTTGTCATTCTCTAAAGATAATGAAAGGTAATGGTATGATAAAGGTATGATAGGTATGATAAATGATGGTAAAGGACACCTTTATATTTTCTATATACAACAAATGTCTGATAATAACACCTTATATTACAGGATTCTTTTTTTTATAACGGCGACTTCGCAGCAGCCGAAATAATGTTCTGAAGGCTAACGCCAACAGTGTTCACTTGTCAAGCACCTATGCAGGCTCACTAAATCACTCTTAGTATTAGGTACTAACAATAGTTTTAAGTTTTTTAATTTACTAGCACTCATGGATTCTAGTTGTCCGAGAAATAAAATTTTATTAATATACTTTTAGAGGCGAAATTGGTATCAGGGGCATCCACGCTATTATAAGCCAGCGCCTAAAATCCAACATTGGTGTTAAGTAATGATAAAATCTTAGGTAATAAATTGCACTGCTTTAGTATAACAAAAACCTATTCACCTTTGCCTTGAATAGAACCAGACAAATGCTGGCAAAATATTCTACTTTTTTTACTATATGCATTTCAAAAGACGAAGTAAGCTTTTTGGTTCAAATCCAAACACCCAAAATCCCAAACTGGACACCCAAAAATCTTCCAATTGTCGAATAGTGGAAAGGGGAGTGTGAAATGAAATCATATTATTCCTGCTCACATAATGATATAATTAGAAGGTGTGATAGAATCCATAACAAAGATATTATATTAATACACTGTAGAACCATAATAAAATACCTAATGCATCAGTAAATTGAAGTAGCAATTGGACATCACAAAGCTTGAAAAACCAACAACTGATAGGGAGTTTTCAAGTGGCATCTTTATACCAGTAAGTTAGTCAACTTACTGGTACAAAGCTGTAAGCTATAAGTTGCATCACTTTATACAGTGGGGATGCTCTATAATCATACAGCATCCCCACTGTATAGAGTGATGACCTAGAAAGACAGCATGGTGATTGGGAGGCTTTTAATAGGCTATAATGAATCATCATTATTATCAGATAATAATGATGAAATTAACTTCATTTTCATTTCACATGAATGTTGGGCATGGGATGGTTAGGTCAAGTGTGCCTTTCTGGTATGCACTTATTAGCACACAATAATATCTCTGTGCTGAAGCAAGATTTCCATGATGGCTCAGTGGCGCAATGGCTCAACATTGAGTTTGTGTCTATTAAACAAAACAGACTAGCTAAAGCAAATTGTATGTGAATTAAGTGATATATTTAAATAAGCTTAAGCTAATAATATAATATTTGTTTCATTGATTTGCTTATTGATTGACTGATTGATTGATTGATTCAGTAGCTAAATAATAAGAGTGTACCTAGCATATGCTCAACCTGATAATGAAACACATGTCGAAAGAATAACTGGATGTGATAATAGTGCACTATTTTTAAAATATGGGAATAATACATACATACATACATATAATCACGCCTCTTTCCCGTAGGGGTAGGCAGAGACCAGTTCTTTCCACTTGCTACAATCCTTACATACTTGTTTTGCTTCGTCCACTTTCATTATTCCCTTCATACATGCTCTATGGTTTAGGGTACTCTTGACCTGGTCTTTTTTCAAGACGTCCCTGATTTGGTCTAGAAATGTCCGCCTAGGTCTACCCCTTCCAACACTTTCATTCACACTCGCCTTATACACTTTTTTCGTCAATCGTTCTTCATTCATTCTCTCGACATGGCCAAACCATCTCAGCATACCTTTCTCAATTTTTGTCACTACATCTTCTTTCAGACCACAACGTTTCCTTATCTCACTATTTCTTATCCTGTCACTCAGTTTAACTCCTATCATATTTCTTAATGCTCTCATCTCAACTGCATTTATTCTGCTTTCATGTTTCTTCTGCCATACCCAAGTTTCACTTCCGTACATGAGTGTCGGAACCAACACCCCCTCCTCATGCACAGCCAAACGAGCCTTGTTAGACACCTTCCGACTGCTCATAAAGGAGTGCAAAGCTCCATTCACCATGTTTCCTGCATTCACTCTTCTTTCGATATTACTCTCACACTTTCACGAATAATATAACATATTAATCCTTAATAAGTACTTATGTTTTCGTTCAGCAGAGCCATTGTTGTTAAAATATCATATTTTAAGTTAAAGCTACTTCTATTTCATGTATTTGTTATAGAGGTACTTAATTTTGAAACAATTTTTTTTTTCATTATTTAAGACAATTTCATTCCTTTACATTTGTTATTTAAGAATTATAAGAAATTACTTCTTATATGTAATGTATAATCCTTAACCCAATTTTGTGCTGCGAGTATTGTAAGAGGTGATAATAAATTATGGGATAAGCTAAAACATATTATGGCTTTAAATAGATTGCAGTACAACCATCTTTTTAGGGCACACTAGTATGCCCAATATGTAGTATACACAACTACACTAGCAATGAACAGCAGCGTCAATGGTCCAGATGTCTGGAAAGTAACACAATTGTAAATACACTTCCTCAGCTTAACAATGAAAGCAAACTTTACGGGAAATGTAGACAGTCTAGTGCAGTGGACTTTTTCAGGATGAAGTTCAAACCACAATAGTTTTGTTTGTAAATATTAGTGGAATTAAATTGCTTACAGTTTATGCATATGAAATTGCACTACCACTGCCAAATAAAATTGACATTAAAATGAAAAAAAAAATTAGGCAAGTAAAACTGAAACTGTGAAATAAGTATATTATGTGTTTTTTTATAGAATGTTCACACAGAATCCTTGAATATACACACATAAAATTAAACATACCTGACCCATAACTGACTTCCCATTATATTTTTCTATGCATATCTTTGAGTACTTTACATCTTGAAATACTATTCTTGCAAATCCCAGATGTCTATGAGTAACTGGATGGTAAAATATTGTCAACTCTTCATGTGGTCCGACTTTATTCATCATTTCTGCCAAAAATGCTTTATCTATGTTGTCATTCAAATTTCCAATTGTAATTTCTATTTGTGGAGGAACTCCTACATAGTTTTTGTCTATCCTAAATCTGCAAAAGATTTTATTTTTAAATTTCCCGCTTCAGTCTAAATGTCATTATAAGGGTTATGTTGGCAGCATTGTGTGTTAAAATATAATAAAAACAAAGAGGATTATAACCAAAATTGTATAAATGTTCATAAATATTTCGTTTAAATAATGGCTTTTAGAATAAACTAGAAGATTCTCACGTACAGTATACGAAAAAATGTTAAAATTATATCAAAGCAACATTAATATATAACTATGAGTTTTGTCAATATCCTACAAATTACCTATAAATATTTTAACAATAAACTTTAAAGTTTATCACTTTTCTGTTACTTCGCTAATATATGTCTATATTTATTCTTTACGTATATTATCTAGAAATATTTACAGGTATTACCTGGCATAAGTTACACAATATTAAGACAATATAACAATGTTATAAAAATACCTAGGGACTGGCAAATCTGCTGGTTCTAACTTATTCCATATCCTTGATAGTTGCGACCTAGGGTCTCTGCACTGAACTGGAGGATAAGATGCATCTCCAGGCACACAACCATCATATCTGTACAATTTTGTTGCCCCCTTTACAAGACATGGGTCCATAAGTAATTTATAATTTTTCGGTGCCTTGTGAAGCACTGCATTATGACCTGGAGTTCTATGCTCCATTCCCCCATTCATTCTGAAACAGTTAAGTAGCAAATAGTTTTATTATACATTATACATAACCTCACAAAATTGTAAAAATTAAAAGCAACAATATATGTTTTATAACATTTTGATCAGAGAATAAAACCATTCAACGTACTGATTTATAAATAATAGATAATACAAACCTGTAAAATTGATAATACAAAATGTTAGAAAACGAAGTAATTTCTTTGCTTTTTAACGAATAATAATAATTAGACGCAATATCATCTTCTCCGATAATAAATCAACCTTTCTAATTACAATGCACATGATAAAATACAATTTCACAAAGTTAAGGCGATTTTATTGAATTTACAATATAAATTCCTACAGCTAGCACTCTCCATGGTGACGATCACTCGAATTATAAAGCTGCCACTAAACACAGCAAAAAAATATAAAAGACTGACTTTCATAAATAACTGTTTAATAAATACAATTAGTTACACATATTTTAAGATATCTGAAGTTATTTTTATTACAATATAATATGTAATGAATTAAAAACAATATATGACGAGATTTCCAATTGACTACAAGGTAGAGTTTACAATAAAGTACTACTTTTATTATAAGAAAATATATCCAATTTTTATGTCATTATTATAGTACTTGATGAACATGTTAACTCATTATATTGGCTAACCTTATTACTGTCACTAAGAAAATACAGTGTATAAATTTGGCTATCATAGACAAACACTTTAGTTTTAGGCTAAAATGAGTTGTTGACTTAAAGTATTTATAAGCAAACTATAGAGCGCGTGCAAGCAAGTCAGAACTCTAAACACGCGTTATAACAGTCTCAAAATGGCCAGGACGACGTTATTAGTAACGCAAGGTCACGCGCGTTAATTATTGCTCTCGACAATATTTAATAGAATTTTAGGATATCATGGTGAAATGTGCAATGCCAAGCTGCAAAAACGATTCACGGAAGTAAAATAAGAAGGACTATGATATTTCTTTTCATCGGTTTGTAATATGTCGATAAGAAAACACTGATTTTAATATAATTACTGAGAGCGTAAAAGAGTGTAGCGGGAGGCGCGCGGCGGGGTCGTCACAGCACGTGCCCCGTGCCTCGCGCTTCTTGTACTTGAATATTATATCAGTATCAAGTTTTCTTTCGTAATAATGTATTATATAATTATAGTATTAGTAGTAAAGATCCTTTGTATTCCTAACCTATATGGACCATAAAATAAAACATTTTACAATTTTGTTATATAGGAACATAACAAAGTTTAATTCGGTTATATACTTATCCAATTTCGGTTTTCCGAAAAGCCGTGAATTTTCAAATAAGTGGATGATCTGTGTGTACCTTGCTATGATATGACAGATTCGCAGCTTATAGTTGATTGTGGATATAATTTGGCGTTACATCAAAATAAGTGATTTCCTACATAGCTGGCTATGTAGTCAGATTTTTGCTACAGACACTTGCTTGAGAGGAATGTCAAGGTGCACTCGTATCAGAAGGAATTATTTCTATTATGTTCACGCCCAAACGCTGGTTTCGAGATTTGACGCCGGAGGGCGCTCGGCTCGGTGCCATACCGGTTTTGACGTTCGGGCGAGCAGAGTGGCTTTGGTAGAGAGCGCGAGCGCAGAAAGTCAGTTGCTTGAATGCAGTGCTGTCGATTGCACGTCGTGAAGTCGCTCGGGATAACCTCCATTTTTTAGAGTCGGTTTTATTAGCAAATTGTGCAACAACGAGGAATTGTAGTCTAGAATTAGACGCCGGGTTGACAAATTGTTAGGAAGTTAACATTGATTGCGATCAAGGTCTTAATTTGTGTGCTGTGCGTGCCTAATTTACCGCCAATTTTGTTATTCTAATTTGATAGCGTATATAAGTGCATTTGACAATATTAATTTGCTCGTGCGGCATTGGATATAGTTCGGAACCATTTTCCGTTGTCGGTTGAACGCTGAACTTTGTGACACTAGAGAAGGTCGTGTTAGGTTCTAGAAATAATTGTTGCCACGCGAAACGGAAGTGACCTTTGATCCGAACATTCGGTATTCGTGTTGTGTGTTACGCTTTATAATAAACGGGAGTTAGTTGCGTCTTGAAGTTAGTTAATTGTACGTAAAGTTAATAGACTGACATAGTGAAGAAGAAAGAAATTGACCGTGGGTGACGCCGTTGGAGATTACCATAATTTGGAGCGGTGCCGGAGTCCGGGCAGCTGCCGACTTCAACGGTCCAGTCAGGTCAATCACATCCACACCACAAAAAACTCTACCACACACCTCTGTCCTGACCGAACCTTGAGACAGTCGTCGCCTCAGATACAGGTAAGTACTCTTTATTTGATAAGCCTCCCCATTAAAGTGTAGTAGGGTAGAACATTTTCCATAAACCGTTTTGAGCCTCACACTTAGTTGTTCGTCGAACCCAACAGCTGGATGGGGCCCTGTCTGGTAGACCTTAGTTTGGGCAACTAGGTGCGTGAACATATTAATTTATTATAATATAAAAGATAGAGGTGGTCTTATGTATCCATCAAATGATGCAATAGACATTTGTATAAAAGCGGAAACAATAATTTAAAAAAAACTTACCTTTCAAAGATAATGGCAATATTATGATTAATAATTTAGTTAATAAGACCTTAAAGTTGTTAATAGGAAAAGATACTTTTACGTGTCTTCATAAACACTAATTCCATCAATCGCCATGCAGCATCTATTTTGTTCGTTTATTGCGTGCTATCATTCAAAAATATATTGATGTTAGGATAAAATATCCTGATCGTTAACAAAAAGACAGCTATATAATATATGAACCTTTTTAAGTGTAAGTAAAGTAAAGTTGCAGCCTATTTACGTCCCACTGCTGGGCCCAGGCCTCCTCTCATTTCTAAGAGAGTTTTAGGGCAAGGAAATGTCCGCCGCGCTGCCCCAATGCGTGTTGGCGAACTTCACATGTCTTTGAAATATTTTTTTTCTTATTTCGCAGACATGCAGGTTTCCTCACAATGTTTTCCTTCAACGCCGAACACATGGTAAATCAGCACTTAAAATTGCAATTTATTTGTTTATTTAAAAACTTAAATGTAACACCTTAAGGTAAAGGGTACATAGGGCGGACTTAATCCCATATGCCATTCTTTGCCAGTCAACCCTGGGTGCCAAAGACGATTGTAGGGAGGTGCGAAACATAATACATAGATAAAGTGTATTTATAGTAAAATATAATATATATGTAGGAAGTATAGAGGGGTATAGTACAGAGCCTGATTTTGTAGTTAGGAATAATAATTAATTCGTTTATACGAATTTATTATCCAACGAGTCGAGGATAAACTAGTAACGCAATACGACAAGCGCACCGTTCCACGTCAGAGCCAAGACTGTCTTAACGGCGGCCGCTCAGTCCGTTTTATACAAGCAGGACGGGCGGCAACGCAGGTGCAATGCCGCAGGTGTGCGGTACACGTGTCGTTTACAAGAATTCTGCCTAGCTAGACCAACGCCACCGCATCTACAACGGTGCAGGTGCCGTCACGGCCATACTGACATGCGTGCGTCCTCGCACGCGCTCCATACAATTTTAGTTATCTGTAACAACTGTAATCTGTAAAACATCGTTCGATTATCCTGACAAAACAGCGTCTGGTCCGGTCTATACTGACCCTTCAGACTCGGGTGATAATCAGTTTTGTTCCGGCAGTAAACCCTACAAAACTTTAATCAACTTTATGCTAGATCGGAATGATTAGTCTGTAGCTTTTTCTATTTTCTCTTTTTTTTTATTCAAGTACTGTTTTCGCTAGTCCGGAATAACTATTCCCTATAGCCATATCATTGGACCGGCACAAAGCCCTGCAATGATAGTAAGAACTATTTTTTTTCTTACGCTTTTTTTTTTCAAGTACTATTTATGCTAGTCCGGAATCACTATTCCCTTTAGCTATATCATTGGACCGGCAAACGCCCTGCAATGATAGTAAAAACCACATTTTTTTTCTTACTCTCTTTTTTTTCAATTCAGTATAGAACAGTTACAGACCAACCATACCGCAAACATGTCCCCGTTACAATCACACAAAAGTGTATCGTGAGGGGCGTAGTGACACGATAACACCTAAGTATGTAAACCAACAGCAAATCGACACATATCCCAGTGCAGCACAGACCAGCCTCCCTGCAACTTCATGTTCCTTTCCTGCACTAGAATAATTACTTCTCTAGAGTATTGCAACGTCTCTAGTATTTTCTAGATGCACAGACACTGCTACCTCTGACTGTCGCACGTCCTCGTGCGGTTTACAGTGAACAACATACGGTCTATCAGTTATCACCACCTGCTAACAGATATTAACTCTTGTTAAATATTACAACGGTCGAACATCCCAGACTTCATTTAAGTCTGGAACGCGCCGATATGGCTACCTCCAGACAAACGCACTACAGCTTTTCGTTCTGCTGCGTTCGTGCCACATTCGCGCCAGCAAGCAGTCGCGCGGTACTAGCGCTAGCGAATCGTCGCACTGCTTTGCAAAATTAAAAGAAATCGAGATAAATGTATTGCGAACCATGGAATTCCGAGCTTCCAAAATTCATCACACATTCTCTTAAGAAACGGCAACTGTATGACATTTGAAAACATTGCAAAAAACGGAAACTATGTGTAGAGACGGATACCATCACATATTTCAAAGGGAAGGAGGCAACTGCGCAAAATCTACGAAAGCCGACCAAGCCTCAGACGTTCATTTACAGCACAAAACGACCATGTGTTCGGCGGCCGCTTGAATTGTCTTGCCGTAAGATCTGCCGATAAGTTACAGACTGTAGCGGTGTAGGCTCAATCTTACTAGCGCTCGGCCGTACCTGACCATGTTCGATTAGCCGTCACAACATCTTCCTCATTGATCATTGTTGTAGAGACTTCTACGAATCTCTCGACATCAAACCCCAATCTTGTCGACCACACAGTATTCGGAGCAAACTGCAACACTGATCAACACATTAGAACACAAAAATGTCACTTATTATTTTAATTAATAGCGTGTTAAAGTTAATCCTTTATTGTAGTACAACCCTTAAAAGTTTTGAAATTCAAAATATAGCAAATGATAATCATGTTTCGCGTGAACTATCAAATCACAACAAAACGAGAGCAGCAGGAGCACCTGAGGGTTTACAAGCATCGTCGGGGTTGTAGTCATCATGATCTGCGTGAAAAACAAATTGTTAACTATAAGGACAACATACACAGTTGCCTGTTCTCTCATCTATCACACATACGAGGCCCTAAAACAGAAATACGTTCTCATACCTTGGACTATAATAAAGCACTTCGCTTTCACAAGTAAACATAGGTCTTCATACGAAGTATCTGACACATACTCTTACTTGACCTTGCGAGATCCCACGTTAACTACGTGAACCACATTAAAAACGTGAACCAGGACAGCGCCTGCCAGGACAGAGCCTAATACAAGTTCAGAAAACATTACCGTGCACACAGCATACGACTTCCGCGCACATAGTGTGACTCCCACGCATACAGAGTACAAGACTTCCGAGGCATCGC